TAGCCTCAGATTGTCCTTGTTTCCTATATTGAAAGCATGTAGCGATGCAAAACTTCGAACTGTAAAAGAGTAGAAATCCAAATGATCTTTTGTGGGGGCCAGTTCGCTGAAGTCGCTCCGCGTCATTTTTAGAATAAGTATTTTGGCTTGGAAAATCCTGCAATGGTTGGCAATATACGTCATTCCTTTTATGGCTATCTGTAAAGCTTTTTTTGCGATCCTAAGTCCTTTGCTCTAACCGGTTGTACCTAATGCAGCTGCTCGGAAGCGGAGAATGTAGTATATTCGTATACTCAAAATTATTTCACGCATGAACCTCGCATCAGTTAGGATTGCCAAGATCTTTGCCACCAAGTTCGCCGGTAGTTTATTCCTGAACGTTGTTCGTGCTGGAGCTCTAGGGATGCTGTTCACACGGAGCGTCTGATATGTTGGCTTTGCAGTCATCTACCATACAAGAATAACCTTAAGGTATCTTGAAAGCCATTATTAAACGCCCCAGATATATCAAGTAATGTAAATGTAGTACGGAGCATATTTACCCAAAGCGCTGCCGTCCAATCAGCTTAATAACATTCCTGCCAAAAAAAAATAGAGCAAAGACCGCTTGAAGAGCGATATCAATCGATTTACCCTTGAAGTACGCATGGTATCGAAAAGACAGCCGCTCGAGTTGTACGCACTGTTGGACCCATTCTTATGCAAGTCCTTTCCAGGTTAGACTTGTCGGTCTGTATATACGATATTAATGTCACTGTTCGGTCAGCTACGATATTCGTCGTTGCTAATATTCTTCTTCTTTATTGGCGTTGTCACCGCTTATGCGATTATAGCCGAATCAAATAGAGCGCGCCATTCATATCTTTTCTCCGCTGTTTGGCGCCTGTTGGAAATACCAAGTGAAACCAGGTCACTTTCCATCTGATCTTTCCAACGGAGTGCAGTTATTCCTTTTTCTCTGCTTCCATTAGTGGGTACTACAACGAATACTTTCGAAGCTAGATCGCTTTAATCCATTCGGACGACAGGACGTAGCCAGCGTAGCCGCTCTCTCTTCATTCGCTGAACTATGTCAATGTCGCCGTACAGCTTATCGTTTCATCGTCTCCGTTATTCGTCGTTGCAAAGAACCATAAATCGTTCGCAAAACTTTTCGAAGACTCTTAAAGCAGACTCATCAGTTATTGACATCGTCCACGTCTTTGCGCGATATAGTAGGACGCGCTTTCCGATATAGCTCCTTACCTTGCGTTATTCTTTCCAGGATTTCGTTCAAGAGTCACACGATAGAGAGTCAATCACCTTGTCTGAAACCCAATTTGAAACCAAAGTTCGTACAGTATCTTGCTGTTTTATTAGTATCTTCTGGCTTTGGTTGGGATCAACTCTCCCCAAGTCATGGAGCTCAATATGTGAATAGTGTTTATGGTATGACTGCCACATGAGTTAACGAGAAAAAACCTCATGGACCGCAATCGCTTGCAAAATTTACCCATTTATGAAGTGTATGACGACTGATGATGGATGAAAAGTGGACCACTTACAACAACGTTAAATGAAAACGTTTAAGTGCGAAGTGCATTGAGGCTGCACAAAAGGTTTCAAAACCAGGATTTACAGACAGAAGGGTTCACCCAGAACCACACAGCTTTGACCATCTGGTAGAGAAAAGTGTTTCATCAAGGAAGCGCCAGATGACACACATCGATAGTGATTCGCCAGTAGCTCCTCCAAGAGCTAAATTGTAAGGTTCCTATGCCACCACTTTAAAATTCGGAGAGACCAAGAGATTACTATCTTTGTCTGAACGATTTAGCTGAAGAAGAATTAGCTTCAAAGAGAGCCTGTAAAAATTTATTGCCCAAATTTTCGGCAAAAGAGACAAGGGATTCCATAAGAGAGACGTAATGAGTTTACCTTCAAAAGCGAAAAACTCTCAATTTATTCCAAAAATAATGGCTTACGTTTTACGAGACCTAATATTAATAAAGGGTGATTTTTTAAGAACTAAAGAAAAGTTTTTCAAAAATTCATAAAAATGCATGAAATCTTTATTTGAATCGATGGTACAATCCATATTATTTTATGTTTGAAGATAATTTCATGCAAATGTTGACCGTGACTGCGCCACAAATGGTCCATCCGCTTAGTCCAATTTTGACATACTCTTTCCAACATTTCGGCTGGTATCTCACTAATAAATGCTTCAATGTTGTCCTCCAATGCGTCAGTTGAAATGGGCTTCAATCTGTAAAGACATTATATTGAAGATAGTCCTACAAAAAATAGTCTAAAGGCGTTAAATCGCACGATCTAAGCGACCAATTCACCAGTCCCGAACGTGAAATAAAATGTTCACCGAACTCGCCCCTCAATAAGTCCACTGTTACGCGTGTTGTGTGGCTTGTGACACCGTCTTGTCGAAACCACATGTCATGCAAGTCAAGCTCTTGCATTTTGGACGCTCACCATATTCAGTTACGTTACGACTCGGATCATCTTTGAAGAAGTTCGGTGCGCTGATGCCACCAGCCCATGAACCGCACCAAACTGTGACTTTTTCTGGTTGACTTGGTAGCTCTTGCAATGCTTCTGGCTGATCTTCACTCAGAAATCGACAATTCTGCTTATTTACGCATCCTTTAAGCCAAAAAAGAGCTTAGAAGCGCGAAGAACTTTCTTCATAGAGCGCACATTTTGATGATAAAATTCAGGGTTGTTCGTTTGTAAGACGATTCATGGTTAAATTAGAGACCAAAATGAAGATGTTTGATGGTGCTACAAAACACGAAAGATGCATCAGCTGTTTAAACCGGTGTTGCCAATAAAATAATAGCTAAAAAAAAAACACCCTTTATATGTATATTGTTTTGAATTGTTTACTTCTAGTTATTAAACAATCATCATCAAGCAATCTACCTTATTAGGAAGCGGTAAAATCCCAAATTTTTTTTAGTTGAAACAACTCATTTTGTAAGCACTTTCTATTTTCATGAAATCTTTTTTTTTTATTTCTTTTTTTTTGTACTTTATGCCGATCAGTGAAATTACGCATTAAACACTTAAACAAGTTAAGGTTAAGCCATATACATGCACAAGCACATATAACCCATATGCAATATAGGTACATAAGTGTTTTTTTTGTTTCCACTTCGTTTAAATTACCTCAAAATTGTTTTGAAAATACAAATGACAAAAAAAAAAATCTCATAAAAACCGTATTAAATTACCAGAATGAAGGAGAACGGCCAACGTTTTTGAGCTCACTCCATTTTATTTGTGCGGTTTTACCAAAAAATAAATACATAAATACAATACCGTTAATGCTAAATTACTCCTACGCTCTATTTACTCCGACGTCAAGCCTCATGCGAGCGACAAACGCACCGAACCGACATACTGTGGTACAGGGGTTATAATAAAACACGGTACGAGAGGCGACATCCGCACAACGTACGGAATGTGCCAGGTTATGAATGGGAAGCATTTATTAAGCGTCGAGATTTAAAATTGTTCAGCTACAGAAAAAAATAATTATTCAACGCTTGAAATTTAGTAATTATGGAATTTTAAAATTTAGTTGTTGAGAGAAGTAAGAATAGTTTTTTTGATCCTAAAAATTGAAAATTGGAGGTCGTCGGCTCTGGAATGATAATTTAAATTGTCACACAAGGTTATAAAAGTAAAGGCCTAAACTGTCTAGATGCACGAGTAGGAAGATTAAAGTTTACCTCAGACAAAAGCGATGAACTAGAAATGAATCCATTAAGAAGTTTCACTACGAATAATGCACCAACCATTTCTCTATGACTTGCGGGAGTAAGTTGATTTAGAAGCTTTAAAAGTTCCGTCAGAATCGAATAGAACCTCTCCGAGCCGTTCGATACCAAACGAGGCTTCAGACAAGGCGAATCATAATCGTGTTACTTCGTTAATTTGATGCTAGAGAACTTTGTAGTCGTAGATAACTTCGTCCATATTGGAACCAGTATAAACACCAACAACAAAGTCAGCCAGGAAATCCAACGCAAAATCACTCTTGCCAACAGATGTTACTTTGAACAGTGCAGGCAATAAAGTCCTCTCTCGGCGAACTAATGCCAAACTCTGCAAGTCGCTCATCATACCCGTCCTGCCACATGGCGCAGAAGCATTGACGATCACAACATCTGATGAGTCGGCTCTAGGGGCCTTCGAGAGAAAGGTTAGATTTATGGATTAAGGATGGATGCGAATACTCCAGCTTTGAAAGTTTTCGATGCAGTACCCGCTGGTGGAAGCAGAGGAAATGAAAACCTCCACTCCGTTGGAAAGACCAGGTAGAGAAAGACCTGACTGTACTTGGTATTTCCGATTGGCGCCAAACAGCGAAAAGAAGAAACGAATGGCGCAATGTTGTTAATTCGGCTACAATTGCGTAAGCGGTGTCTGCGAAAGTAAAGTAAGTAAGTAATTAAGTATATTACAATACAAAAACTCCTCACGGAAACCCAATTACCAATGATGCGGACAAAAAATGCCTCGGATATTCTTTTTTATGCCACAAAATCCTGGTACAAAAAACGTTTGCAGGAACAGAAGTTCGACGGTACCAAGGGACAGCATCCTTGCTTAAGTTCTCAGAAAATATCTTTTAAGGACTTATGCCTCCCACCTTAAGAAAGTTGATTTCACACCGGTTAGCCTAAAAGTATGCACTTCAGTCTGCTTCTGCTCCAAAGAATGGTACGAAGGTGGCAGAGATTTACAGTTTTAAAGGCCTCAATAACTCAACTTGATGTAGGCCACCCTTGGTAGCTCCGTCACCTTACCGAAAAGAGTTAAAAAAAACTAAGAAAATTGCACCATCTTCCATATATTCAACGGCCAAGTGGAACCAAAGTCAATAAAGTACACACAAAAACAATAAAACCAAAGTTGGAAAAGAAGGCATATATTTCTTCTATCCATATCACACACCTTTGCATACATACACGTACACATGTATAGCCAAAGCATGTTTACAGCTCAGCATGTTTCGTAATCCAATCGACATGATAAAAGACCTTAGCATAACCATCTGGATAGCCCGACCCGCAACCACCATACACGAAACCAGCAATACCGACCACTTCACCATTGTACACAGCCGGACCGCCTGAGTCACCATTGCAGGCGCCATTATTCGGATTGTGAGCCAAGCAGATGAGTGCATCACTATCCCACCGGATGGCGTCTCTACATTCGCTGCGTGAAATCGCCGTCAAAGTATTCCATTGCAATTCGCGTGGCAGATCGCCACCATGAGTTATTCTACCCCAACCGGAAATGATGATGGGTGTGCCCGAAGCCACCTCTGTGGAGGCTAGAGATATGGGTTGAATATTCTTCGAAAATATCAATGGTTCAGCGAGCCGCAGTACCGCCACGTCGTTCAAGAAGTTGCCATAATCCTCGTGCGTGGTAATCTCCTTTACTTTAACTAAAACACCACCACGGAAGCGATCATTCGTACCGGCACGTACGGTGAACGTAGAGGCGTCATAGCTGAAAAATTATTGATTGAAAGGGTAATAAATAAATTTGGTATGGACGTTTACTTATCGCCCGAGGTAAGCACACTTACACCGTATAATTACCCTCCGCATTGGTGGTGCCAACGCAATGTGCTGCTGTCAATATGAAATTCTTGCTCAGAATCGAGCCACCACACGTATGTGAGCCGTTGCGACGCAGCGATATTTGATGTGGAAATTGTCCATCATACGCATTCACACCGCCTACAACGCGACCGGTTGGGACCGCTTGAGTGTAGGTAGCACCCAAGACGCACACCAAGGCGAACAAAGTGATTTTAGTTATCTTGGATCGTTGCAGAGGGACGTCCAAATGAATACTAAAGAAAAAGTTAGCAAACTACCATTGACCTGAGGTATGAGCTTATCAATCTAATACTCGTATAAGGCCCAATTACTATTTTATGAGGTTTTGCATAGCACACTTCTGTTTCATGAAGCGATAACTAATCTTTGTATTTTTTATTATGAGCCAATATATCCAAGACGTCGTAGCGCGATAGCAGAGAAACTATACGAGTTTAAGTTGCTTTATTGCATATACCCGTATAGCGGTATATACATATGTCTATCAGTGTATTTATTTTAGCACTTTTGCTGCAATGAAATAAAACGTTGGCTCCAAAGGCAGTTGAAGTTTAGATAATTAATATTAGCCGTCAATTAGCCAGAAGCAAGGCTATCATACTTATTTATAAAATAAAATATTTAAAAAATTGAGTTCTATGCGAATTATGGTGGCCATCTGGGCTAACCTGGAGCTTAAAGCTCTCCCTCTTACTAGTGGTTATACCTTTTAATTCAGAGCTGATTAGGTTACACTGAAATAATTCAAAAATATTCAAATTATCCTAAATCTGAAGTCTGCAACTTAAATTTAAAAATAATAATGACATTTTTTTTTCATATTACTCTGATGATAAATCTCAGCTTGCCAATCATGACTCGGCATATTCCGTACGGTGCGCGGATGTCACCTCTCGTGTCGGTTGGGCGGATGGAGGGTAATCGTTGGGCTTGTTATTATTATTGTCACTATTATTATTTTTTTATTATTATTATTGTTATTATTATTATTATTATTATTATTATTATTTTTATTATTATTATTATATTATTATTATTATTATTATTATTATTATTATTATTATTATTATTATTATTATTATTATTACTATTGTTATTATTATTATTAATATTATTATTTTTATCATTATTATTATTTTTATTATTATTTTATGTTGTCAGGCACCGCTTTTGTTAAGCTAAATTGGTCGAAGCAAAAGATTGAAGTTTACAGACAAAGCCCTGCATATTCTTACAGATTTATCTAAAATTAATGGTGTAGTTTAGGCGGCTCTTTACTGCTCCCAACTAGAGTTGAGATGGATATTCAAGCTCCCTAACCATTGCAGTATGACAATACAAGCTTATGAAAGTTCCGCTCAGAAAGGAAAAGTTCACGTTTAAGGAAAACGTAACTAGACCACTGAGCTTATAACCAGTCCAATTCAGGCAGAAGATCAAATTTCATCAGGCTAACACCAAAATTTGGAAAAAACTAAGTTCTTACTAGCGAAATTGTCCATTATCGTCGTATGCCTAGGTCTTGTAAAGGGCACAAGATGAAGAAAATCGATAGAATGTGCGCAGATATTGAATGCTCGGCACTTAGCAGCAGGTACGAGATGCGGCAGATAAGTTCGCAGCTATAAGCCTCATACAATAATTTGAAAATAGTTTCATTCTCTCTTAGCAGTCGGTTTCACAGCTATCTGAAATTAAACGTGTTTCGGCTTTCAAACCTCTTCTCTAAAAAAGAAATCTACAAAAAATTATAGAATTTTTGGCAAGTAATGAATTATTAAAATTATAGTCTGAATCTTCGACACCGAGTTTTCCATATTGAATTTTTTTGGTGACCTTTCACCTTTTTCTATCTACTGCAGCGCCTCCTTTCTGAGCTTGTAATCATACTGACGAATCCAAGTTACATCAACGAATGCAAATATCATTCAATGCAGTTATTACTGGTCGAACGGCGTGAGTATTTGCGGTTCCCAACGCGCGCTAGTTTTTTCATACTCCAATGCGTATGCAAAATCTTTCCTGCTCGTTCTTTGCTAATCTGTAATCCTTTTGCCATCTGCCACAATTTAATTCATCAATCAGCCAATAGTAATTTTTCGAATTTTTGAACATTTTCTCCGGCCACAACCCCCACTGGGGGCCTCTCTCTCGTTCTTGTTGAAAGCGCCGAGCTTAATTATTTCATAATCATATACATTAAGGGGCCATTCGGAAGGCTCGGGCTTAAATCCTAAGCTTAAACAAAATTTTCTAATTGTGGTCGCCCCTCGGCAGAGAATGTCAACCCCTCCGAATGTATTTCTGACCTGAAATAATGCTCCTCATAAAAGAGTCATCAGCTGTTCGGAGGCGGCTTAGTACAAACTGTAGGTCCCTTCATTTTTGTTGGATAAACATCAAGATGCAAAACCATTAATTGTTCAACCTACCTTAACCTACCCCGTTACAATAAGCTCTCACTAAGAATTGTAAGCTACTGGATTCTCTGTTGTGAGTACAGATTTTTTGTTAAGACTTGAAGTAAAAGAAAAAAAGACTAACGAGTGAGATAAGATCGGATTCATTTTGATATCGTCTAACACAAGGTTTCCAACTCTAGAAGAGAGCAGTATCTGTTATCTAAGGAAGACTCTCTGTTTCAGACATCAAACAGATGCTATTAAATAAACCACGCTTATCGGAGAAAGGAAAACATGCGGCCATTGGTGTTGTATATTCTAAAATTTCCATCACCTGAAGAGAATAGTTTGTGGATGTAAGGAAAACTCTACCTCCTCCCAGCTATGGCAGTTTGATCAAGGCTCTTCAATGGTACCCCAAGAAAGCTATCCTATTCCATTACTTACCTTAAAGGAAGCTCTTTAAAGGGCTGTTTCATTTATCGCAATCATTCAAGAGAACTTACATTTACTTAGTGGACTTACTTCTCTTAAAAGCATATTTCTTTGGCCATTTTTGTCCTCTGTAAAGTTAGATATTATCAAAACAAAATCCTAAGATTCATTCCTCTCCAGTAAATGATCTAATCTAATAGGCCCAGAGCAATAAGTCTTAAATGAAGCCACTTATTTAATTAATTACGAATTTTCTGCTAATGGTTTGAGTTTTTATTATTCTATATCTTTACAATTAGAAGCTTTATTAATAAAGCACGCAATTAGCTAATTGTATAGCTGTGTGAACAGCACTCCAAGACTGCAAAGAGCTTCTCGAATTGGCAGTATTCTAAAAAGAAGACCTTTGCCTATTACCTAATACTGTAACTAGGAAAGAGTCCCAGCTTGGCTGGTCATATTCTCAATTAGCTTTCTTATAAGCGGGCTAATTACCTCACTCGAAAAAATTGAATTTAATTAGCAAAAAGCCTAAAGTCTGTGGGTTTCTGGGAATAAAGAGAATTGTAGTCAACACGAGCTTATAAAAACTGAACAAGGGGAATAAGGGGAAATATCTTACAAAATAAACAAAATTTCCTACCTCACCGACCGGTGAATTGAGTGATCAAAGACAAAGCTTATATAAAACATTTATATTGAAACCCTTTTACAGCGAAGTTTTCCTAAAGATTTTTTATTAAAATAGATCTTCTCACACGTCATCCCGCAGTTCACAAATCCGAATTTTCCTGGATCCAATCCACGTGTGCGGAAATCTTAGCATAGCCATCAGGATTAGTACTGCCACAACCGCTAACCACAAAACTGGCAACGCCTACCAGCTCGCCATTGTAGGCAGCCGGACCACCAGAGTCACCAAAGCAAGCACCATTGTTGGCCTCATGTCCCAAGCAGAGTAAAGCATTGCTAGCAACACCAATTGAGCTCAAACATTGCAGACGGGACAAAGCCCTAGCAGTATTCCATTGTAGTTTCGTTGGCGAGCTGCCAGTGGTTGAGAGAGCACCCCAACCGGAGATGATAACACTGCCACCAGTGGGCACTTCAGTGGTGGCCAAGGGAATGGCTTTTATGTTGTTGGAGTAAATGAGTGGTGTTTCCAAACGGAGCAAAGCGAGATCATGCAAAAAGTTGCCATAATTCTCATTAACAACAATATTGGTTACCTGGACGACAACACCGCCCATGAGACGTTGAGTGGTGCCCGCACGAATTGAGAAGTATGAAGCTGCATAGCTATAATATAAAAAAGTTGGTGATTAGTTGATAGTAACAAACTCAACCATGGAACATTAAAATACATACACAAAGTAATTGCCGTCGTCATCTTCATCACCCACACAATGCGCAGCTGAGAGCACGTACTGACGACTGATGATAGAGGCGCCACAAATGTGTGAGCCGCTGAAGCGCAACGATACTTGGTAAGGGAATGCGCCCTCAACGGCATTCTCTCCTCCAACAATACGTCCCTGATTTTGGGGCATAGCGCTGACCGAGGACATGAGTCCAAGGCAAACGAGAAGTGTCAATGATATTACTTTCGACATATCGACTTGCTAGCAGGCGGCGTGGCACGAACTGAATACCAACTGGTTGGCAGAGTCTCCTTTTATGTTATCGTCTGCTATATAAGATCGGCAGATCGTTTCATTGTAAATCAGTTCTTATCATTTTCAATCACCGCAAGTCATTAGCATAGAGATAGACCTGCCCAAAGAGTGATTGTAGTGAGTTACATTATAGTTTTCGTTTTTAAATAAATTCGTTATAAATTTACGCTCGATACTTCATTAACAGTTTTTATGACTTCTAGATAAGTTCGTCCCATTATTTGCAGCGGGATTACCGTCTTCGAACGTAGGAAATTTAGGATTTATGAGCTCTGTATCACGTAATCGGAAATACGTTCGCTATGGCCTTTGATCCATTGCTACTTACCAATACGACAATCACTTTTTTCAGTAATTACTTATCTTCAACGTAGTTCCCGAACTCATTAAAGACTTGGAGGCGCTGTTGACATTTTCGGTTTTTTGGGCTAAGACGGAAACACCCGCTTTACATACACATCAGCGGTAGCGCACCATTCGTCTACGCTTATCAGATAGCAAAATGAAAACGTTGTGGGTTAGGTTAATCAGGCTGACCCAGTGGGTCAGTGGATGACGAAATTCAACGATAGGCATACCACCTCCAATTGTGTCTCTAGTGTGAAGAACATTGCTGACCTTCTCGTGAACATAAGAAAGAGCTTTCTGAAATTTAGGCGCGGGTTTACGTAGTCTACACGATCAGAGATGACAGTATATTACTCTGCCCTTAAGTCCAGCTTTGCTGGAGGAATGCTCAAAATCAGAAGTGGCGCTGCGGTTGGTGTTGTTTTGAGTGGCCCAGTAATGCTGATCATGGGAAGTCTGAAGATTCTTTTCCGTTTTTCTTGATATATAGTCTTGTCCATAACTTTCCACCACATTAAAGCTCCGTGGAGAAGTTTTTGCTTAACACCAGCAATGAAGATGCAATGTATATATGGCCGCTGGTGCCTTCTTCTCTCGCTCCTCGACATTGAGTCTCCACGACAAGTGGTTTGATGTTCAACATAATTCTCAGTTCCTTAGTGCTAGGCCTTAGCTGTAAAGTGTCCTCTCCTACCACTGCCTTGATACAAGCTGAAATTTTGTATTTCCTTGTAAATAGAATCATATCTTTTTTATCAGTATTAACCTTGAGTCGTGCTGTAATAGCCCAGTGGGTTACCAAGCACTTACAGAGATTTCGACTATGCTCGTCAGGGAAAAAGCTGGCATCTGCCGAGCGGAAGTATTAGGTAAATAAAAGGCATCTAAGGACCTCTAAGGAATAACTACGAGAGAATACTGACAGAGAGAAAGACGTTTGTCATTGTCTAAGTAGCGGCTCACACTTGGAATACATCAAGTACAAAACCTGGTTAGCTAGTTTCATTGAGCACACTGAGTTTGAGCCTAACAATGAAACGTGATAGCGGAAATTTTAAGGTCATCGATATGACGGACCCATAGCAACATTCCTACCTACCTTCCAACCTACTTTTGGTATGAAATAAGAGGTCTCTGCTATTGCATACCTAAAAAACTTGAGTATCGTTTTTGATTACCGTCTATTAGTATATTTCAAAAGTTATCTCAGTATATTTCAAAAGTTATCTCAATCCATGCTCCCGAGTTTTTTCATCCTTGTAGCCCTTGAAGTAAGAAATCTTGGAAAATATATTTGATTCACCTTACGTATGCCAAAGGTTTCTATTAAAATTTTCTATGGATTTCTCTGTTGTGAGGTTTTAATTACCAACTTGTAGTAAGATTGGAGTATAAGTACTGGCGGAAAACTAAATTGTTTATTATAAGAGTACGCGCTTTGACTCATTACACCGCCAATTTTCACACTTTGATAATTTGATTGGGTTCTACTTTCCTGAGCGACATCTAAGTGTGAGCGCTCATGTCCTTCCTACTCAGCGGTTTTGAATCAATTCTTAATATACTCATCTTTTCGGACGCTTAAGAGTGCTGTAGCTTGAACTCCGCTTGCGGTGCAGTCTCTATTCGATGGAATATTGCCATATTAACAACGAACGATTCACTACTGGATCTTAGATAATGGAACGAACTTAATTGACATTTCTTTCGAGTAATATTCTACAACAGCCTGAAACCACTACCTAGACACTGGACGACATTTAATTTAGGTTATGGGACGCTCTCCAAGGAGAAAGGAGATATTATTTGGTAAAATGTTGGGTATTTCAGAATGGCAAACACCAAGTGCCAGTTGTTAGGGTTATTACATTACAGTAAGTTCGGAGCCTAACTTCGTGGTAGTGGAAACTTACTTGATTCCTTCTGATCCAACTTTCCTACGTGAAAATTCTTGCTCAGTTATCAAAGAGTTTTTCAACTGTTCTCCCTGTAGAAGCAGAGCTTCGAATAAGTTATCCGGAATCACAATGATCCGTCAGTTTTGAATTTGTTTGAAGTGACATCTGGATTATTCGAATCTAATATAGGTTCCACCATGGATTTTTCGTAATCTATCGGTCCATGTATGATGTTTTTCGTATTTCTTTTCAAACCGAAACTTTCTTAATGTCATGACTGTTTTAAATGACCAGGACTGGAAGTTAGACCATCCATGATAACTTTTTGCCGAAAAATAACAAGAAGAAGTCATAGACCGATTGAAATGAAAGAACGGCTAACATATAACTTGAGAAAAGAAAACGACGAAATCGCGCTTGAATAAGATCTTTCAGTCGAGTGGTCAGCAGTATTTGTAACCATACATATTGTCGTGAACTCAAATCCTGACACGATAAACATTCTAAATCATGAAGCAAAATTCGATTTGCGTTCGCTGCTCAGCAGAATAGTTCGTCCCCAACGAGTGTATTTTTGTCTAGATATAAAAAGAGCTTCTCATAAAAGTCCATCAGTCGTTTGGAAGCGGCTTAGAAAATTAATAAGAAAACAGCAGTACACATACCGTAGGCGTGTTCCAGAACCTCAGGGAACCCGGCTTTTGTCATTAATTGTGTTACAACCGGCTTGGTTTTCTTCATACACAAAGACGTAATAAAGTTTTTTTTTTAATTCTTTTTATTCATTTTTTTTTATTAATTTTTTTTTTTAATTTTTTTTTATTAATTTTTTTTTATTTATTTTTTTATTAATTATGAATAATTGTTCCGTATACAATGAAAAAACCCCTTTAAATCATATTCTCTTGAATCCATTCGAGGTTATAGAACACCTTAGCATAGCCATCGGGACGTGAAGTACCACAGCCGATCACCACAAAACCAGCAACACCCACCAATTCACCATTATACGTAGCTGGACCACCAGAGTCACCATTGCAAGCGCCAGCACCCTTAGGATGATCAAGGCATAGCAAAGCATCCGATGACATCAAGATCTTGCGGAAACACTGACTCTTACTGAGGGCCTCAACGTGGTTCCATTGCAATAGGATGGGCAATGTAGCACCATTATTCTCGGTCAAACCCCAACCGGAGATGATAACCTCAGAGCCGGCTGGCACTTCAGCGCTAGCCAATGGTATGGCTTGTATCTTTGTAGAATATGTCAAATGTTCCTCCAACTCCAATAAAGCCAAATCATTTTCAACGCTCGAGTAACCTTGATGCACGGCTACACGTTTCACCTGCACGATAACACCGCCAGCAATGCGATTGTGTGTGCCAGCGCGTATTGTGAAACTTTCGGCGGGATAACTGTATTAAAAGGGTGTAAAGTATGCGTTAACTTTTTGAAATGCTAATTTTTGTCTACGATTAGCCACTTACGCTGTTGTGCCCGACTCGACCACACAATGCGCCGCTGTCAAGATGTAATTGGTGGCGATAATCGAACCGCCACAAATGTGTCGATGTTCCATACGCAACGAGATTTGATGTGGAAATTGTGCGGCTATAGCATCAGAGCCGCCGACTACGCGACCAGTAGGATTGGCTGAGACAGCCGCTAGGGTGATTGCGAAAACCGCTAAATAATGAAGAGAAGCCATTGTACGGCAGAATGGCTCTAGAGTGGCGGGCTAAATCAAATAAACTGCACGCCACGCGTTTCGAGAATATTTATACTCAGAAGTGCTTGCTACTGAATTATAAAAAATCCAAAATTCCTTCAATAACTACTATAAACAGCATATAATGTTACCGCCAATCTTTATCAACCGAACACCACAGTAAATCATTGAAATGCAAAGATTAGAAAATAAACGATTTTTACGACGCGTAAATTACGTGCTATCATAAGCTTGGTCATGGAGTCGAGTTCTTGCCTGACTAAAATCCAAAATTATTGAAAATAATTTAAATCAAAAAAATTGGTTAATTTCTCTAATTATGGTCTACCAACGACAGGCAATGTCCAACCATACCTAAATATTGTGAAACTTCAAATAAAAGCTCCTCATGATAAACCATCAGTCGTTCGAAGGCTGCTCTGAATAAATTGTATTGGGTTGTTCCAAAGAAACCGCCGATTTTTCATACAGACGGCGTTGGCATTTTTTTTTTTTTTTTTTTTTTGACAGTTATAAGCTGTCACTTTCAGCTTACTATGGAAAAAAGTACGCTTAATTTTGTTTATATTTCTTTGTTTGGCGCCAATATGGAAGTCATAAAGGAACACTTTCGCCATATTTGATTTTATTATTTCCTTAAAGGAAAAAATGCAGCGCAGGTTGCTAAAAAGTTGCATAATTTTCATCGTGAAGAAGCCGTAAAAGAAACACAGAGTCGAAATTGGTTTGTCATATTTCGTTCGGGCGATTTTTTGCACTCAAAGTTAAGCCGCGTTCAGATCGGCCAAGTGAAATTGATGATGACGATATCAAGGCTTTAATCGAATCATATCGTCATGTAACTGAGCGTGAGACGTCTAGGACTGGTAAAAACAAACTAGATATTTAGGTACCACAGGAATTGAAAGAAATTCATTTAAAAAACCGCTTCAAAGCTTGTGTTATGCAACTTAAACACAATCCCTTTTTGAAGCAAATCATGACTGAAGATGAAAAATGTATTATTTACAATAACGTCAAACCAAAAAGATCATGGTCCAAGTATGATGAAATGCCACAAACCACTTCAAAGGCTGATATTCACCAAAAGAACATTATGCTGTCAGCTTGGTGGGCTTGGTGGGGTGTGATATATATTGAGCTGATCCAAGGAACTAAAAGTTTAATTCGGTTGTCTGCTGAGCGAAACTTAACCAATTGAATACATGCCTCAACGAAAAACGGCCAGAACTGGTCAATCATAAAGGTGTCATATTCCATCAGGACAATGCTAAACCGCACACAAATTTGGTCACTCACGAAAAACTGAGAGAGCTTGACTGGGAACTGTTGATGCATCCACCTTATAGCACTGATATTGCATCGTCAAACTGCTCTTTGTTTCGATATTTGCAGAACTCATTAAATAGTAAAACCTTCGAAAAGGATGAGGATATAAAATCGCACTTGGTTCAGTGTATCCAAGATAAAGAACAGCAGTTCTAAGAGCGTGGAATAATGATGTAGCCGGAAAGAGAGTGAAAGATCATCCGACAAAATGGAACAAAGTTACAAAATTGATTAAAACTCATTATAAAAACAAAAAAATTGTATTTACTTTCTTTTAAATGATTGCCGATTTCCTTTGGGGCAACCCAATATTGAAAGAAGAACTCTTTTTTTCCAAATTCACCCGCTTTATTGTGAAATTTTTTCCGAAAATTTTCCCTGAGTAGAATAAGTCTCCTCGATGTCGCATATAAGGTCCTCAAGAGCGAATTGTCTAAAAGACCCCTTATACGTGTGGCCTCACATAAACGTGGCCTCACGTAAACCCGCCATTCAATAGATATTCACCATGTTCCAAACCTGAAGCAGACTCGGGTAAAAAAGTTTTCAAAAAGTTTTCCTAGATAAGCATATCAAGACAAAATATCAACTGTCTATAAACAAACAGTAAGCTCATTCGGGACTTAACTGCCGCGTTACAGTTGACAATTATAATTATGTGGTCATAGACAATTTCATCCATTTAGGCACAAGCATGACACAACAACATTGTGAAGCTTGAAATCCAAAACAAAATCAATCCCATCTCGACGAACAAATGTCGAGCAAGCTAGGCAAAGACTTGAACGTTGTCAAAACCTGATAAGTCGACGCTTGGAGTTTTCGGGTAAAAGATTTTGCAAACGATTTAAGTTCGAGTTGTGTGGTCCGAAAGTACTGTGACTTTGAAAGGATTAAATGCAAAAGTACCAGTCTTCACTTATTTTCTTTCAATTGACACCAAACGACCGAGCTAAGAAAGAAAGAAGCAGTAAAGAAGAAGATGAACTTAACTTTGTATGATTTCAATTCGTTTGGTAAATATGACCAGATGGCCTCGATGTAGGCTCAGCTTTGGTCGACTCTGAGGTAGATGGCCTTATGTCTCGTTATTTACAGAGCTTTTATGTCACTTGTCTAACCCCTTTCTCCCAAGCTCACGCTTGGTTTATTTCTTCTCGATGGGTTATGGGTATTTCCAATTGACTACTACACAGCTCGCTCACGAATTGGGTTTTCTTACGGTTTTTCTCACCCATTCTGGCAGTTGCATCAACCTCTCGTCTCAGTATTATGTCCAAATCTAAAGCCACTTTGTATTGCGATATGGCTTTTTGGTCTCTCTGGCACGTCTTCTTTTGTAAACAGTTCATAGTAGTCTCTTTAGCAGAGTTACCTAAAAGTTCTCTTAACTTTGTAGAGCTTACCGAGGTCATCTTCGCGTCTTCGATGTGTCGAGGGATCTACATTTTTAGCGTTCCACAAGGATATGCCAGAAATACCCTCGGAAGTATTGTCATTTCCCATCGAAGGTTGATCCCACCTACAGGAATTTTCCTTTCTATAATTTTTAGAAATTAGTTCGGTCCGTTGCCTCCAACTCACACATTGTTATCAATGACTGTCATAAATAAAGATAGAAAAAAAATATAATATTGACTTATCTTACCCTCGGTAGAGCAATGCCTCGGTAATTATCAACGCTACGTAAATTTATCTTATCTTTAATGAATACTTATTGGTCTTTATTAAAGAATATTTACGTAGTTTTTATAAATCAGTATAATACATGGTATATATAGATAAAATTAATATATACAAAAAAAGGGTTTGGGACGACTGACTCCTCACTTTCTGTAAGGATAAGCATAAGCTTCCTTTTTATATCTAAAAAAATCCGACAGTCTTTTTGAAAAAAGGGATGCGATCTCGTTAACCGCGAAAAAATCGGACAACTAACGATATTGTGTAAGAAAGGCTACTCCATAAGGTTTAAAACAAATCTACTTAACCGAAATACCCAAACAATCTAAGCAAAACTTCATGCGGTATGATTAAAATTTGTTGGAATTTTATTCGTTTCGAACTTTCTGTATCACATTTAACTTTGAATCTTCATGTATATCCCATATAAGTCCAACTCAACACCTCGTCCGCTTCACCTCACAACTGACTCTGAATCCACGAAGCAAAATGTGTAATGCTTACAAACACCTCGGGATAACGGGAACCACAAGCGCCCACCACAAAGCTGGCAACACCAACGAGACGATTATTGTAGGCCACGCCATTACCAGCATCGCCCAGACAACTGCCCTCTTTGAGCTTATGAGCCAAACAGAATGTGCTCTCATCATTGCCGGCATAACCGTTGGTGCAGTCCTCCTCGCTGGCGACAGTGAAGCCAACTGATTGCAATTTATAGGGTGTAGCACCCGATGACTGTTCGCCCCAACCGGCGACAGTGACTTCAGCGCCAACTGCTGGCTCTTCGGCAGCAGTGGTGGCCAAAGCAATTATGGAGACTTTGCTGCCCACTTCCAACTCAGTCCTTAGGGTTACCACAGCGACATCATTTTGTATGTATTGGTAGGAGGGGTGTACAGCAATGGTTTCGGCGTATACGATTTTACCACCAGCAAATTGATTGACGCTACCGACACGCACTGAAATACGATCAGCGTCGATACTGTGACGAAATAAATACAATATTTTTGTTAAATATTTCAACTAAAAACTTTTCAACCTTAAGTCTTCAACTCACACTTTGTTGTTGTCGTCGACAACACAATGCGCCGCCGTCAAAATCTGCTTAATGCCGATAATACTGCCGCCACACACATGCGCACCATCCAAACGGAGCGAAGCAACGAAAGTGAACTGGCCGGATGCAGCATCCGCGCCGCCCAGAATCCGCTCCCCCGTTTGTGGCGGCAAGGCGTGGCCGATGCTAATGACGCCAGCGAAAGCGATGACGAGAAGCGTAAAATTTACCGTTGAATACATTGCGTTTGTGTCGCTACAAAACTGTTAAAACCGACTGGATTGACTTGACTGGACTGCACGTCGTTGAAGTGATATTTATGAAGTGAAAAATGATCTTGTTTCGCACCGAATGCGCGTATTCACACTTAAAGTTCGCCGGTTGATATGAATATCGATGCGTTTTGCGCTGTGTTGTTGCTTTCGCAAATATTTCTGTACTGTTATCGCAGCAGTGTTTTGTTGTTGAATGGCCGAAGTATTGAATTTATGACCCACTTTTATGGCAGCAACGGACACGTTCGATTCGAGTACTCACTTATTAGTCGTACTTTGTTTCGCTTACTTTTATTGCGTATTGTCTTTATTATTGGATTATTGTGTGTGACTGTTTTCCCCGTCTGACTAATCTTATCGTTCAAACATGGTAGCAGCCTGATAAAGTTTGGGAATTCTGAAAATAAAATTTAAAATATTAAAGCAATATTTATAAGGTGTCCAGTACAGGATATGTGCGAAATTTACAAAAGTTTTCACGGCTAATTTATATAAAAACTTAAAAAAAAATTTAAAAAAAATATAAAATGCAAACTGAAAATAAAAAAAGAATTAAATAAAATAACGCAAAATAAAATAAAAAAATTGGATGCACTAGATTATAAAAAAATGAGAACAAAAATTTATAGTTCATTAAATAAACAACTTACATAAACTATTTTCGAAAAAAAAAATATTTAAATATAATAAGATGAAAAATAAGAATTTCTTTAATAAAATGAAAAAATTAATAATATGAAAAAATATATAAAAAAAAAATAAAATATAATGAAAAAAATCAATAATTAATTTGCATTAAAAAAAACACGTTAAATAAAATATATTCAAAGTAAGCAAAATAACTTAATTAAAATATAATAAAATAAAAAATAAAAATTGAATTTAATGAAGTGGAATAAAATGAAAAAAAAGAATTAAATTAAATAAAATAAAATAAAACAAGGTAATAAAAGATAAAACATAATAAAATGAAAGAAAATAAATTAAAATAATAATAAAATAAAAATAAAATTAACGATTATTATAAGATAAATTAACACATAATAGAATGAAAGAAAATAATAATAATTAATTTGCATCAAAAAAATAACTTAAATAATTAAAATCTATTCAAAATAAACAAAATAATTTAATTAAAGTAAAAAAATAAAATGAAATTATTTAACGAAAACAAAATAAAATACAATACAATATATTAGAATATTTTTAAACAAAATAAAATTAAATAACTTCAATAACGAAACTAAATAAAATAAACGAGAAAAGATTAAATGAAAAATAAAAAAAATAGACGAAAAAACAAAAAAATATTATATAATAATATCTTAAAACAAAATAAAATAAATTAAAAAAAAAATTAAATAAACGAAAAACAAATTAAAGGTAAAATCAAATAAAACAAATTTAAATTAATTTAAATTAACTAAATTAAATAAAAAAAACAAAAAAAATTAAATAAGAAATAAAACAAAAAAAATAAAAAAAATAAAATGGAAAAAATAAAATAAAATCACATTAATATAGTTAAATTAAATAAATTTATAAAAATGAAATAAAATAAAATAATTAAGAAAAAATAAAATTAAATGAAATAAAACAAAATAAATAAAATAAGATAAAACCAAACAAAATTAATTATATATATTAAATAAAGAAACTAAATAAAAATCGAAGGAAAATCATTAAATTAAAAATAAATGAAAAAATTAAAAAAAAAAAAATTAATTTAAATTAAATTAAATGATGTAAAATAAAATATCATAAAATAGAACAAAACAAATAAGAAAATGAAATAAAACAAACAAAAAATAAATTAAATACCTGCCGATGGGGGACCTCAATTATTTGAAAGTAATTTTAAAATAAATAAATTTATTAATGCAAAATACAAATTACTCTATTTTGTTAACTCATATCTCAAAAAAATCTTTTTATTTGGAGTCGAAGATGTAGTATTAACTATTGATTTTGCATTACTCAGAATTTTCATATTTATTTGTATTTATTTTTTAACACAATTTAGTGGGCTATTTCTCTTATCACACAAACACCCTGTTTGAAATATTTTTTTTAAAGAGTAGATCATTAAGTAAAAAATATATATACGCCAATTTTCTTTTTTTTAGTTATTTCTCAACCACATTTGCGCAAGCGAAGGGTGATAAAAACTGCACAAAAATAAGCTATCGATTGACTCAAGGCAGAAACACTAACTGTTAATGAGAAAATGATTCAAAAAATGTGATATTTTTTTTTTATTAAAAAAGAAATTCATCATCATAAAATACTTGGTTAAAGCAACAATCTAACTGTGGTGAGTTATTAGAGGGCAGATTATAAATTAGACAGTTGGAAAAATAAATTAAATCTCTGATGAACCCTACGAACAGCCTTTACTTCAGCAGTACTCTCAAATTTCCGGCATCTCGGCATCTTTTTTTTAATTCACACATAAAACTTTTTTTTTTTTTGGAAATATTTTTATTCACTTTCTTCAGAGAACAACACAACACTCTAAAATTTTATAAATGTAAAGACGATGGTTTTATACAAAAGTTTTCCTCTAGTAAGTAGACGCTGCAATTGTATTTGCGATCCATTCACTGTAATATGCAACCCTGGTGCTTACATCGGGCAACTTAGTGCCACCAGCGCCGAAGAAGAAACTCGCCACGCCGACCAACTTGTTACCACTCACCACACCAGCGCCATCATCACCACTCGAGATACCCTGCTGTACGCCGTGTTGTAAACACAACACTGAATCGTAACCGAAACCAGCTTGATATTCACACTCATGCGAACTCAAGACCTGTAAGGTGGTCTGTTGCAGTTTATATGGTGACGCACCCGACAATTGTAGACCCCAACCGGCTAAGGTAACCTCAGTGCCTTCAGCCAATCCTGCATCATCTTCGGTGGTGGCCAAAGCAATTGCTGCGATTCTGCTACTGAAGGTCAATGGCTGTTCCAACGTGATGACCGCCAGGTCGTGTAGGAAATTACCAAAACTCGGATGAATAGTAACATTTTGGACGTTGACAATTTGACCGCCAGCATACTGATTGATGCTACCCACACGCACAGTGATGCGAGAGGTGGCGATACTGTGGGGTAAATTTGAAAGAAAAGAAAGAAATTGAAAATGAAATTTTATATGGGATTTCTATGCTTTTTCACTTGCTACACAACACTTACGCTGTGCTGCCCAGTTCGGAGAGTCCACGCGCTGAGGTGAGTATATGTGCTGAGTCGATTATATTGCCCACAGCAACATGTGCATTGTCTACGCGCACCGAGGCGATCCATGGGAGTTCTCCGCTGCTCGCATCGCTACCCTCCAGTATGCGGCCCTCGGGTGCGGCATTCGCGAAGGCTGCTAAAATAAGTGTAAAAGCGACAATGCGTGTAAATGCCATGGCGTCGAAACTAAAACTGTGCACTACTGATTGTTTGGCGTTTTGAAGAACCCAATTAATATATTACTTATTTCGCAAGAGCTAGTGTTATCAGACGATGGTATCGTGGACGGTAGTAATTTTGTGGTAGCACATAAAGTCAAGTTCATTTGATTAGACAAATTTCAATAAAAGTCTTCTTCTTCTTCTTCTTGCGTACTATGATCCAAAAACTAGTTCAACAGTTAGTTTTGTTATTGTACTTGTGAATTGTCGCGTAGAGGCGTCATAAATGGTCATTATACTAAGCCTTATCGCTTATCGAAATGTTTTTCTAATTATTACGCTTAAGTCAATTGATACACACTAATTTTTGTGTGTATATATGTACATAAAAACCATTACTTGAAAGTTTATATGTGTTTTCCAAATAATAAGATACCTCAGCGGTCTCCTAATACTTGTTGTTCTAGACGCAGTCTTATATTGTAGATCAAGCCGGTGACGGTTTCGCAGTTAGCAGTCAGCTCTATCATGCTGAAGAATCAAATACTGCCAACTCCTGCGGGTTAGGGGCTCAAGTATGTGTCTGTCGTAATTGGTGATTAAAATCCAATAGTTCCTGCGACAGTTGGGTCTTTATATCGGAACTAGCCGGACTTTTTTTCTGGCCAAGAACTACCACTTCCACAATATTCGCCGAAAACCCATTTGCGAAAATATTTTTGCATAAAATACTGGTCAGAGCACCGAACATAAGAAAGTATTAACTGAAGACACGAATTAAAAAAAAAACTCCTCATCCATAAGTCGTTCGACGCCCACTTAAAGCAATCGCTTTCTTTCACATGTTGAGAAAACATCAAACACGCAAAACGGAGAGATATCTGGGACGGAAGTCGCTTCAACGGTTACAAAAAAATATAAGTGGGCAGCGTCGAAGCGTAAACATGCCTTGTAATAGATACGCGATTCCAGATCGTGTGGCGTCACAGTAGGAAGACAAGCCGCCTCAGCGGAAGCACGAGCTTAAGGGTTTAAAGTTCTATGACAATGTTTATTTCACTGAGTTTAAGCATTCACTGTGGGAACTATAACTTAACTGATTGAAATAAAAATTGTCCATGAGTCCAGGATCATGAGTTAGAAATTGCAGTTCCTTTATTAATATGATGCCGCTACCAGGTAAAAATAGCTGCTAAGAGCACCGACCACCAAGAGAAGCAATCTGTAGGGAAAATGTTAGGTTCCTTTTCTATTACAACTAAAGGAGCACGAACTTTCGTTAGGTTTATCGTGGGAACAAATTCTTTTGGCTTCATTGCTGTGACAGACTGAGGAACTGTTTGGGGAACACTGAATTCCTATTTTACCTCGTAATCGTTAGATAACTAAACATTATTCCGCGCATAATTAGATTTTTACGTCGACCAGCTTATCCGTAAGCAATCATTATGATTTATTAAATGTTTTATGAAAATTATGTAAACTCAATAAAACTAAAACTGGAGAGGCTTTTAAAGCGGTAGACTTTATTAGATGAAAAATTTAAAAATTGAGAAAAATTGCTAAAAAAGAAACAAAGAAGTTTGGCTTATTAAGCCACAAAATACAGTTTGGTTGATGGGTTGATTGTTTGAAAGCAGAGGTGGATGACTTGACCAACAGAGGCTACAACCAAGCCCACGTGCAAGTTCAATGCCTTTCCCCATGTATCCCAGCGATCAACTGCTGAACAGTTCGCTAGATTTTATAAACCTTTCGAAAACCTTGAACTGGTGTTATCGTGAAAATTATGACTTTTCAATCGGCAGCAGATCGCACACTCGCAAATTTAGCTACTACGTTTCGTGCGCCAACCGATTCCACATTATAGTGCGTGGATAGATAGATGAATCGTCAGTAGACTTGCAAGAATACAAAGTTTTGCTCAATGCAAGTGGCAGCTTGGTCCAACCTTTGCCAAGATCTTAAATGCTCCCTCTTGGTCTACTACTTTAGACAGTATTTGAAGATGCTGCAATACAGCTTGTTCGCCTTTTCATTGTCTTCTACATGCGTGTGAACTGGCAAGTGTTTTTCATGGTGTTTTACAACGAGAGTCTATAAAATGTAGCCTTATAAGTTTCTCTGTCGCGAAGTTCGATCTATTTCTAAAATATCTGATTTAAGACAAACATATAGTCTCCGCCTGTAGGGCAAACATATTTGTCATATTGCGGAGTCGTGCTGTATTCTAAGTGATCGGAGCTTACTTTTAGACGTGTGTTTACTCTGCGATTGTGCGAAGTGTTTTGGACCTATCAGAAGAAAAGCTATTCTACTGAGAAAGCCCCCTTAAAAGACCTCGCTTGTGATGGTGACCTCAGCAAATGGAAAAATTGTTCTTGCCGACTTTAACGCCCGGTTGATCCGGATACCTACCATTAACCACTCGCCTCTGTAAATCAAAGAACGCCCGTCAGCAAACACAAGGAAGGTGCGACATAGAAAAGCTGCAATCGCAACAGACATCAAACGGATTTCGACTCGACTTGGAAATCTGCTTTCTGAGAGTACTCAGCAGCAACTCGATATAAGGGAGAAACGGTATCTTAAATTTCTTACGTATCGGCACTACGGAAACAATTGGTTTTCGGCGGGGCCGAAAAAAGAGCTGGTACGATGAGAAATGTCGAACTGCAGTAGAGAGAAAACAAACTGCCTACCAAACGATAGACCACAATATGTGGAGGGGTGAAAAAAATACCGAGGGGTGAAGGGGGTTTCAAGTAGCATTTGTAGACAAAAAAAAACAGAAACAGAAAAAAAGAGGACGATATGCCTGAATAAGAGGAGCTTGTGAAGCTGGCCAACAAGAGTAATGCACAAAAATTCTATGGAAAGACGCGAACACTCAGAGAAGGGTTCAAATCTAATACTGAAATCTGTTGACTGATGTCCAGATCATATTTGATGTATAGAGGAAGTACTTCTACAGCCTGCTGAATGACAATGAAAATGCAACGCTCGGAAAGCGCAAGCCCGAAATCGATGACGATAGAAGAGACGTTCCATTATCCGACTATGATGAGGTTCGAAAAGCGGCTGAGCTTTTTAAACATGAAGTGCGGATGCATGATGCACCAGCATGAGAGTCTGAAGCCCACCGCCAATAAACTGATTAGACCTTATCAGTATGATTTTAGACTTGGTAAATCTACCATTGATATTCACCATCAATTCTCGTCTCCTTTGATAGATTTTTAAATTACCTTCAACCGCATAGTGAAGAGCTGCCGCTCTGATGTTTAAACTGACACTGGCCAAAACCAGAAACGCAGCCATAATCGGGAAGGAGTTCTGTGAGGCTTTCGGTAACAAACAAAGTTTCTACTATTTGATGCTGGGGAATATAATAAGACCTGCAGAGCTGATTAGACAAAGCACAATATTTTTCAAGAGTGTTCAACTGCCGGCGTATGCAACTGACATTGATATCATCAGCCTTAACAATCGCGCTGTTATTTCTGCCTTCTCCAAGCCTGTCAAAATATCGAAGCGTATGTATCCTTGGTTCTCACCTCACTAATGACAGTCATAACTTCCAGGTCGTAGTTTCATCAGTTTTGGCACCGTCATTTACACCCATAATAAGCTCGGGTGCTAATTTCGACTGAGTAGGCAATTGAAAAGGCATGTCTTCTGTCGACGAACCAAAATCAAACTCTACTAGTCACTCTACATTCCTCTCCTACTATGTACTGCAGAAGCCTGGACGATAGCGACATACGATGAGTCGGCATTGGGCATTTTCGAGTGAAAAGTTTTTGGAACGATTTATCTGCCTTTCTCTCCTGATCCCTCCACCAGCAGATACTGCATTGAATACTTGCATTGTTGGAGTATTCTTATCTATCCATACAACCTGGAGTAGCCAGTGTAGCCGCTGTCTCTTGATTCGCTGAGCTATTTAAGTGTTGTTAATGCGCAGAAGATCATAAATCTTACGTAAAAAGCTTCTGTCTTAAAATCTCCAAGTATCTACTCGTAAGATGCTGAGCTTCGTCTGTTCAATTCAAAGTTGTACCTGTTGGCAAAAGTATTCTATTCTACACTGGTATTACATTTGGTTCCTAGAAGAGTTTATCTACAACTTCAATGCTGCAACCGTCAACAGCAGCAGGGGACGTGATAAATTTCCCAGCTCTTATCTAGTTAAATTTATTACACCGATAAATATGTTGAAATATTATACATAAATTATTACATTAAAAAAATATAAGTCAACTGCAAGGTTTCATTGAAGAAATCATGCTATAAAGCAAGTGGCGGACACACCACTCAATTTAGTGCAATTCTTGGCTTACGCCGTGCAGATCTGTTAGCAATGATGGCGGCGCGTAAAGTGTTAATTTCCCTGCTTATAGCACTGCTATCCATCATTCCGAGCAATGCTGCGCCCAATGGACGTATCGTTGGTGGTGTCGATGCCACAATCGGTCAGTTCGCACACCAGGTCTCTCTGCAGCGTGAAGATGGCTCCCACACGTGTGGTGGATCGATTATTAGTGAAAACTATATTCTGACAGCGGCGCATTGTGTTGTTGTTGGCAATGGTATTGAACCGTAAGTGTAACGAAAATAAAATTAACCTCAAAACAAAAAACGAAAAACGTCTCAAGACACATCATTTTTACCCTCTAGTTATCCTGCTAAATTTTACCAAGTGCGCGTTGGCAGCATACAACGTACGGTCGGTGGGCAGTTGTTGAAGTTAAAACGCATTATCGTTAACAAAACTTACGGTAATTTCCTGAATGATGTAGCCCTTCTGGAATTGGAGCAACCTCTGGTGTTTACCAGCAATATACAAGCCATCGAACTGGCTGATGAAGAAGTGCCCACCGGTGAAGAAGTCACCATCTCAGGTTGGGGACGTCTCTACACAAACGGTCCAATTCCATATCGCCTGCAATGGAATACATTGAAGGCCTTGAACGTGGAGGAGTGTGATGCAGCTATCGGCATGGGTGAGGCAAGTATAATCTGTTTGGCTCATCAGGCTGGAAACGGTGCATGCAACGGTGACTCAGGTGGACCAGCCACTTATAAGGGCAAACTGGTTGGTGTTGCTGGTTTTGTGGTTGGTGGTTGTGGTAGTGCCAATCCCGATGGTTATGCCAAAGTGTCTTATCATCGTGAATGGATTAGAGCTAATGCTGGTGTCTAAAGTAACTAAGGAAATGTATATAGTAATAATAATAATAAAAAACATATTTATTAAATATAAACAATAAACTTGGTTTATTAAAAATGATTTCACGCTTTCTTTTTTTTGCAAAGCTTTGCATTTTCAAACTTATCCCAGAGCATACATTAAGACCCGAGAGTTTCCGGATATCGTTTTTTCGATATTCGCGGTTTGGTTCATTATGAATTCGTTCAAACGGTACAGACGAACGGCGTTTTGAATACTTGTGTGAAAAAATCCGGAATTATGGCCAACAACTCATGACGATAATGCGCCACCGCACCGAACAGTAGTTGTAAACGATTTTAAGACCAAAAGCTCATTCAATACCATAGATCAACCACCATATTGACCGGATTTGGCCTCATGCGATTTTTTTGTTTCCAAAAAGCAAGTTACCACTCCGTGGTATCCGTTTCGATCCCGATTGGGGGCGTAAAACAAAACTTCGCAGAGGGAACTGAGGTGGACTCATTTCAATAGCTGCAACCTAACTTCTCATTTTATTTCGCCTCCTTCACTTGTATTACCCGGAGAGTTCTAAGATCTCATTGCTGGTGGCAGATTTCCTTCTGGTTGAAGCACTGTTCAATATTTGGCTCTCCTCCATCTTAGACCCACCTGTGAGCTCCGAATTTGAATTTAGATCAGGATGAGATGAAAGCATAATAAGCAATCAGACATCATGTCGGTTGTCCGTATAGTTTAAATCCACTTTTTCCAACTTTTTTGCTGTTCTAAATGATTTGTGGCGCGAGGTTGACAAGATCTACTGCCGAAAATAGGTTAATATTTGGAATTATGGGCGCCCCCATGGTGGGGCATCTCAACGCCTGCGAGTGTATTTCTGTTATAAAATAAAAGGCTCCTCATAAAAAACCATAGATCGTTCGGAGGCGGCTTAGTATAAACTGTAGGTTCCTCAAGAAGCATATCACAAATGGGTGCAGAAGCTTGTTCACAAATTACTTCATCTGTTGCAAAACTCCAATTACATAACAGTCATACCAATGAGAGTGTCTCTCAGAGAACGAACGCCAAAGTTCAGCAAAAACAATCGATGGCCAACTTTTCGTGGTAAAAGAGACCTGAAAATGTTGTATGGCTTAAACCTTCTTGAAAAGGAGGACACATTACTTTGTTCGGCGGCAAACAGAAGGACTGGAGAGTTCTTTCAGAAGGAGCTGCGAATGTGGTAAGGAGATGGAAACAGAATTGAGTTGCGGAATGATGTTGAATGCGAGAAATAATCTATGGAATTATATGCATAGCAAACAGAACAACCTCTCAGGCTAATACAGATAAAAAACCGAGTGCGGCCAAAAGTAAATCTGATCAAAACATACCATGCATCATCTCATGTATGAGCTGATTGTGATGCCACTGCTTATCTAAAATGATCTCCACCCACTAGTCAGTCTAATGCTATTTCCCCCTCAGACGCTAAAGGATGCCAACTCTATAACCTTCAAAATAAACCTCCAAAGTACAGAGGATTTGCAAATGAAGTGCTCTAAGATTTTATATTTATCCTCCTCTTTACGGTATTCACAGAGTTAGTTTGAATCTTGGTCACATTATTTCCATTGAGATCTCTCAACTTTAAGTTAGCATTTTTATTAATAGCTCTCTTATAGTAAGCTTCCAAATATAGAGCAAAAAAATAGAAGGGAGACGCCCTTCCTTGCTAGCTGGTCCTCCATCTCGTTACCCAATATGCTCTGGTTTGACTCTAAACTTTTCGATTTCATTGTAGCAAGTTCCAAGACCCTTAATTCTATGCGATATAATTTACTGAGCGTATCATTGAGCTTAAGAAATTCATATTCCACCTGAAGACACTGCTTTTATCCAGTAAACGAAAGGATTGGTACACAGAAACTTCTTAAAATAATAATACGACCGTGTGTTATTAGTTTTCTTTTAGACTTCTTTTTTAGTCTTACCACAGCAACCCCATAATGCCAGTGGAGAGTAAATGTAAAAGATATTCCCATCCTCAGTTAGTGCAGTCCATAGTGCTCCCCTGATATTAATGGGAAGGGAGTAACATTCGGCTTTTGTGGGTTAATGTGTAAGCTAACATTTTCTATCCACTTTAATTGGTGCTGCGTGATTTTACATGAAGTCCGTAGATCGTCCGCAAACGCTATGGCTGTGCATGATCATAACTCCTTCAGCAATTGGTTTACTGTCAAGTGGCCCAAGGCCTTCACTTTAATTTCTTAGTGGGCATACCTAATGCATCTAGAGGATCAGACTCTACGACCCCGTATCCAACCAATTGATGTGTAAAAACGACGGTCAGGGAAATCGGTACAGCATTAACTGCATCCATCCAGAAGCTAGCGCTCCGCTACTTCGATAAGAAATTATTGCTCTAAAATCCATAGATTTGCGCTCCACATTTGGTAATTATAGCAATTTTCGATTCCTTTCAGGAGGTGTGTAGTTGGGCTGCTGTCCAGAGATGACTTTAATTGGTTGGAGGAAATTTTTGCCAGGTCGGGGTCTTTCTGTTGTTAAATATTCTATGTGCCCTCCTAATCTTGCATTTTGTTAAGAAGAGTCTTTCACAAAGGCTGCTGCTACTTTCTATATTAGATCCAATAACCTGCTCGTGGGTACATCAGTTAAATGGGTTTTGTAAGAGAAGGTCGACGGCTTCCTTTGCTGCTATCATCTTTCAATCATACCTGTACCCCTGCGCAGAGCGAGGGATACTTAAGTATATTCATTTGTGCCTACTCTCCATTCAGGCTCTTTGAATATTTTTACAAAGTTATCTCCTAGAGCTCCATTCTCTCTAGAATTTTACGTTCAGCCCTAGAAAACCCCTTTTGAGGATAAAAATAAACACTGCTCAGCGCCGGCTCCATCAAAAGCCTTAGAAACTGTTTCCAATTTTCATGCCTTAGATCTTAACGCGACTCAGCCTCGGAGATATCGCGTAACAGGGCACTCGCAACTTTACCAGCGGCATTTAGCTACGTCATCTACACTTACTGTTTTGACAATTTCTTCTCCACAAGAATCCTGGACAGGAATGAATGTGAAAATACTTCTAGAGATCTAGATCACAGTGACAAGGTTAGGCTCAATCAATATTAGTTTGTGGCTACGAGACTAGTGCAGCGTCTTCCAGGCAAAATTTATTGCAATCACGAAAACCGGAAAAAAGCTGCTCGGATCTCTTGTTACAAACCTACCGGATAGTCGAGCTGCCATCAGATCTCTTAAGAAATCGATTTTTTGTAGACATGTTCAGCATCAAAACAACAACGGTTAAACTAACTCGACACTGTTTATTGGAGCTTCATAGTAAGGAGAATGGCATACTTTTCGAATTATTCTTGTCAAAGCTACAGAGACATAGAAAAGGAAGAGTCTGTCGAGCATAACCTCTGTCACTCTGTACTTAAGTATCTAGGATATCATATATTTGATTAGCTACGCTCATGGCAACGGTTGGTATAGACAATATGACATCGTTCCTAAGGCATGAGTAACGGTTCATACAATTGAAAAAATGGCAAGTACAGGGCAGCGGTATTACAATGAGCCTTCAGGCCTAAGTATGCTGGTCCCTCTGATCAGCAGCCACATGAACTCAACTATAATCAATTGTTATTACTTAGGCATATCCATAATTTCGCTCCATCACACGTTCAAAAATAGTAAGCCTTTCTTATTAGTACCAACATTTCCCGAAATGATGAGCCCAATAGCTTTCTAGGATCAACTCAGTGTACTTATATCGTCCTACGGCCTTTCAAGAAACCAAGGGCAAAGAATTTCTTGTCATGTTCATTAGACAATCCAAAACTCGCATGCTCATTATGAAAGAGGTGAAGCACATAGTACCCTTTAAAGGTATATCATTATGCTACCGATTGTAAAACCATTTTTAAGCGCTTTATTTCAAATCTTATCTTAAACGGGTTTCAGTGTACAGCGAATATTTTTAATATTGCCTCTGTCATATCGGTGTGTTGGGTATCATAAATTTTCTAATAGAGCAATAAAACTATTTGCGTATAAGTTTGCATTCAATATCATGTGCTGTGTCCATAAGCCAATTGAGGAAGAAAGTTTCAGTTGATTTTCGAAACGCCAACGAGTTTGTTACAATAATGTCGGCACGCCTCTTAGTATGTGCCTCTGCGCTTTTGGCATTAGCCTCTGTTACCAGCAGCAGTGCTGCGCCTAATGGACGTGTTGTTGGCGGCGTCGATGCCACAATCGGTCAGTTCCCACACCAGGTCTCTCTGCAGCGTGAAGATGGCTCCCACACGTGTGGTGGATCGATTATTAGTGAAAACTATATTCTGACAGCGGCGCATTGTGTTGTTGTTGGCAATGGTATTGAACCGTAAGTGTAACGAAAATAAAATTAACCTCAAAACAAAAAACGAAAAACGTCTCAAGACACATCATTTTTACCCTCTAGTTATCCTGCTAAATTTTACCAAGTGCGGGTTGGCAGCATACAACGTACGGTCGGTGGGCAGTTGTTGAAGTTGAAACGCATTATCGTTAACAAAACTTACGGTAATTTCCTGAATGATGTAGCCCTCCTAGAGTTGGAACAACCCCTGGTGTTTACCAGCAATATACAAGCCATCGAATTGGCTGATGAAGAGGTGGCCAGTGGTGAGGATGTGATAATCTCAGGTTGGGGACGTCTATCGACTTATGGGCCAATTCCGCATCGCCTGCAATGGAACACATTGAAGGCCTTGAACGTAGAGGAATGTGAAACTGCGATTGAGATGGGTCATGACTGTTTGATCTGTTTGGCTCATCAAGAAGAGCATGGCACATGCTTTGGTGATTCAGGTGGACCAGCCATTTACAATGGTAAACTGGTTGGCGTTGCTGGTTTTGTGGTGAATGGTTGCGGTAGCGCCAATCCCGATGGTTATGCTAAGGTGTTCTATCATCGTGACTGGATTAAAGCTAATGCCGGTGTCTAAAGTTGAAGACCAACAATTAGATAAAAGTCAATTATTTTTTAAAGAGAAAAATTTCAAAAAGAAAGTTTTAATGAAAAATATAAAATCCTTTTGCGCTCTTTGTGTTTATTTTCTTTGACTAAACTATTGCGAAATTTATTCTTGGAAAAGTCTTAAGTCCCCAAAACGGTAGCTGCTGAAGTTGCTTTAAAAGAGGTTGCGCGATTGGTGTGCACGGATGTATGGAAAAGCTAACAACAGCACTACACATTCTCTGTCTTAGTCATTCTGCGTCAATTGGTAAAACTAAGTGAAACCAAGATCTCTTCTCCACCTCATATTTCCAATGAAACTTAGATTTTCCTCTGACTTTTCTAGTGTAGTAAAAACATTTCAAACAGAAAAGCTCAATTTTCACAACGTTGCGAAGGTTAGTTATCATCGCAGCGTGAGCGCAAAGAAATCAGAAATCTATTTTAGAACTTCGTTTTTTAGCTAGATGTTCGTCCACCAAAGTTAAAACCTGGACTCTGCAATTGAGTTTCTCTTCCACCATCCTTCGTGTTAGCGCTCACTTTTGTGGTCCCTATAGAGCATGAACAAGAGCGTTTTGATTTCCGTCCTTCTTCAATCCATTGCTCTTTTTGTAAAGCCGTGATATCTTACGAGCACAATTAAAGGACCCTACATTCCAGTTGTATGTCTTTAATTCGTGTGCGTTGAAACGTTTTCGGTTGGGTTTCTCATTCAAGGTGTTTTTAACTTCTTTTGCTTAGATACAGGCCAATGCCTGGGTCAAAATAAAAATGGGTACCATATATGCTATCTCGTTCCTGATACTGATTTGGGGGTGGCCTAGTGACGGATGTCCAGAATATACTGAATTTATGGAGGGAACACTTCTCTAGCCTGTTGAATGGCAGTGGAAATTAAACACCAGGAGAAGATGTACCTCAATTGATGATGGAAAGGTCGTTCCATTAGCCAACTATGAAGAAGTCCGAATAGCAATCGCACGCTTAAAAAACAACAAAGCGGCGGGATCTGACGGCCAACCAGCAGAACTACTCATATATGGGGATGAAGGTGTATGCAAAAGCTCAATATGCTGGAGTATTAGAATCTAAGTGTATGCTGCCCAATCCAAAAAAAGAGGAACCCTACAGTCTGCCCCAATTGTCGTGGGATAAGCCTCCTTAATATCACATATAAGACCCTATCGAGCGTATTGTGTGAAAAAAGCCCCCGGTCAACAAATTGATTGGGCCTTATCAGTGTGGCTTTAAGCCTGGAAGATCGACCATTGACAGATATTCACCATGTGCCAAATCTTGGAAAAGACCCCTGAAGGGCTAATGAATTTTTATGAAGTGCTTTTTATGTCATGTCTGAAATACATTCGGAGGGCTTGACACTCCCTGCTAAGTGGCGGCCGCGATTAGAAAAATTAATTTTCTAAAACTGTTGGATGTTGGTCGAAGACTCTAGTCTTCCGAGTGCGTCCGCCGAGGACAACATATACTATACAAAAAATCGATTCTGCAAAAATATAAATTTTCCCAAGCAAACGTTAAAGGGAAAGACAAAACCTTATCACGCATTTATTATTTTATTCAAGTTTATTTCTTCCATTTACTTACATATATAATTTAATTTAATTTTCTTTTCATTTATTTTGCTGTATTCTACTTTATTTTTTGTTTCATTTATATTTTTGGTTTAATTTATTCTATTTCATATCAATTCATTTCATTAGTTTATTTTAGTTTAGTTTATTTTAATTTGCTTTATTTCATTTAATTTTATTTTATTTTATTTTATTTTATTTTATTTTATTTTATTTTATTTCATTTTATTTTATTTTATTAAATTTTTTTATTTAACTCCGCATTATATTTTATTTTTCGTCATCTGCCAGCTTCTATGTGGTTACATATTAAGCGAAGTGCAATGCACCATTATTTATATTTGCATCTTATGGCTTATTATGGGTATTACGTTTTTTTTTTTGACTTTTGAGCTACAAATAGTTGGTTTTTTCTGGTTTTTTATTTTCTGTAATTCTCTTATTTTACACTTCAACGTTAGATATGTAGTAGCGACTTAATCCGTCATAGGCAAGCAAATTTAATTTCCAATCAATTGAGAAATGCAGGAAAAGTTATTACGATGATCTGCCACTGATTGCCAGCGAACATTGGCGTTCCATAATTGCATAATGATCTTGATCTTTTGAGGTTGTTGAGCTGAGATTATAGACTTTACTTTATTAGTTTCTGTTATAATGGAATCTGCTTACCCAAGTGGAATAAAATTTCATAAATGGTTATTGAACTGAAATTATTTTCATTTCTTTTTTTGCAGTTTCTATACACTAAACGCCAAGAAAAGCGCGTTCAACGCAATCAGCGCAAACATTGACAGGACGTGACGTCGGACAAGATGATTCTACGGATCGTATTTCTTTCAGCTTTTCTACTCTTCTCCTATCATTGCTTAGCCCAGTCGACGAATGAACTTGACGCAGCACTGCCAGAGCCGCGAGCTTATATACCCGATTCACAGTATTTAGACTTCGTTTATCACGATCACGATGATTTGACAAGATTTCTGAGGTAAGTGCACTGCAACACGAAAGTGGAAGATTCGGATTATTTTAATTTATTAATTTTATTTTTCTTCGTTTAATTGCACACACTAGAGCCACAAGTGCACGTTATCCGAACTTGACAGCTTTATACTCCATTGGCAAGTCTATACAGGGTCGCGATCTGTGGGTTATGGTAGTATCATCATCGCCCTATGAGCATATGATTGGTAAACCCGATGTAAAATATGTGGGCAATATACATGGCAATGAGCCGGTGGGTCGGGAGCTACTCTTACATCTTATACAATACTTTGTAACTAGTTACAATACAGATCAGTATGTCAAGTGGCTACTGGACAATACGCGCATACATATTATGCCATCAATGAATCCGGATGGTTATGCGGTATCCAAGGAAGGTGCTTGTGATGGTGGACAGGGACGGTAAGTAGAGTAGAGTAGAGAAGTACGTAAAGGTTTTGCTCAATCAACAATGTGAAATTCGCAGATACAATGCACGAGGCTTCGATTTGAATCGCAATTTCCCAGATTATTTTAAGCAGAACAATAAACGTGGCCAACCCGAAACGGATGCAGTCAAGGATTGGATTTCCAAAATACAATTCGTGTTGAGCGGTAGCTTGCACGGCGGCGCCTTGGTGGCGAGTTATCCATACGACAACACACCAAACTCTAGTAAGTATATACAAAAAGATTCGAAATCACTAAGAGTTCATTAAAAATGTGGCATTCATACATAAGCTACAGAGAGATCGGACAAATTTTAGCTTGTATTTAAGTTCTACTGTTGTGTATCTACCGCATTATAGCTCTGGTAGTCAGTTCCGGTAGTGATGTATATATCTTCCTCTTCCCATTCACAAGTTCCCTAACACTGCATTGGAATATCTCTCCGTAGTACTTACCTAGTTAAGTACAAACTTACCCAAACTCGGAAAAGAAATGACTGCCATTCTAAATCTCTATGATATCTTCACTCTCAATGTCCTCTTGTAAGACCCTAATACTTTGACTGACTTCACGATCAGTTCTTCGAGGTTGAAGATCTTTTTTTTGAAACCTCAAAGTTCCAATCTGAGTTACTCCTTTTACTTTTCCAGCCACAGGTTTCATTTTGAGCCAAAACATCCGGTAGAAAATGTTTTGAGCTCGACTTCGAGTCTTTTTTCTCCTGATTGTTGCCTTTTGAATATTTCGATCTTGAGATTTCTCTTACAAAGGTTCTCTTTCATTATCAAATATCGCATCGAATACTTTCAGAGCTGGAGTATTTTCTTCCAAACATGGTTTATAAAACCTCTGAACTATATGTGTTAATGTCGTCGTATATCTTATACAGGTCATCATTTGATTGCCTGCGGTATTTGAAGGTCCTCTACTCGTCTTTGATCACCCTTATTGATACTTGACGTGTGGAAAACGGGCAAGGTAGCCCCGCTACTCAATACGGGGAAACCAGCCAACAAAGGAGACTCTTATCGGTCGATAACTCTACGCTCCCCAGTAGCGAAGACACTTGAGGCCTTGCTTCTCCAGACCGTTACTCACCATCTGCGTCGAGCAACACATCAGCATGGCTTCCGAAAAGTGCACAGCACCACAACAGCACTTAACATCATAAACACACAGATAGTCAATTGCCTTAACCGAAACCGGCCCTGCGCACGAGCTGGCCTGGTAGTACTGGAATCTTCATTACCCCTGTGGTTGCAGAGGTGGGTCATTGGCTACCTGAGTGGTCGACAATCAACGGTAATATTCCGAGGTGAAACAATCGAAATCCAGAACAATTAAACAGCGGCTTCCGCTCTCTTTAGTTCTGTAGCTCTTATTACTTTCATTACTATTGTAATAAATCGAAGAAATCACACGAAAAAATACACAACGTCTGAAGCCTCGTGTATACCTTATTCATAGAGAATGCCTTACTTAATTTCGTCTTAGCATATTTAACATAAGTTTTGCGGCATCTTTGGTTTATTTCTCTCTTGGAGCAACCGTGCCGGGCTAGTGAGGGATTGTAGTTAGATCAAGTTTCAAAAGCAAAGCTCTTGCTTCAAGAACGACGCTTACCATAATTACATTTATGAGTGTCAAATATGCAGCGTTCTGCTCATCATGTTTCTCTCGTAGTAACTCTTGTCGCTATTGCCGAAAAATTGGTACAATCGAATTTCATAGGTTTCTCTTGCGGTCAATTCTTCAACGTCCAAAACATTCGCTATATACAGAAACCGGTGGAACCTCCCAAGTAAGCGCTTGGCACGACTGGTGAGTCACGATCTATGCTTCCGAATGAAAAGCGTTTCCCTTCCTGTCGGGCAAAGCAATTCTTTTCCTACAGACGGACGAATTAAGAGTTTTGCCACGGGGAGCAGCTCACATTGGACGATTCCTTCTCAGCCCGTGGGTGTTCAAATACTACTAACACTTCAACACTTCTCACACTATCTTATTTAGTACGAAATATCATATTTCTAACACTATTTAGCGTAATCCTATCGTACTTATAGAACGCGAGATACACGGCACTAAATCAATCTTTTTTAAAAATAATGGATGACCTTCATTTTTTCTTCGCGGATTGCTTTATAACCATACTAAGATACTCCGAACCATCTCAGTGTGATAGTAAGGTCAATCGAAAAAAAATAATCATCAAAAAGTGGAGATCACTCGCTAAATCATATTTCATCGTTCACTCTTACATCATACTCTTACAACCCAGACCATCTACAGCACATGTCATCTGCAGTATATTTTTTCATCACCAAATAATTTTCCCCAATTCACCTCATTCGTTTATATAGTGTATGTATTGTATAAAACTTGCCGATCTATAAACTTGTATTACCGACTTCCTTTCCCCTTTCCTAACGACAACATGGCTGCTCAAAGGAATTTGTAGATCATCGGCTTTATGCGCGAGTGAGTAGTCTATCTGTACATAAGAATTTCAAGCGTATAAAGATTTCTTCTTATATAACTACTTCTTCTGCTTCCCCTCTCTTTTCAACTATTTATCATTTATTTATTTTTTCATTCTCTCTTTTACCGCCAACATGTCCCCTGGGTGTAGTGTTCCAAACCTACTCGGCCGCACCTTCACTCACGCCCGACGATGACGTCTTCAAGCATTTGTCACTCGTCTATGCGAAAAACCATGCGAAGATGTCACGTGGTGTGGCATGTAAATCGGCGACACCCGCCTTTGAGAATGGCATTACCAATGGCGCCGCTTGGTATCCGCTAACGGGTGGCATGCAGGATTATAATTATGTTTGGTATGGTTGCATGGAGGTGACGTTGGAGATTTCCTGCTGTAAATATCCACCCGCCTATGAGTTGAAAAAGTACTGGGAGGATAATCAGTTGGTGAGTTGGTTGCGGTTGCAATTAATATACAAATATTTATATAATTTTAAATTTAAAAAATTTTTTTTTTATAATTTTCTTAGTCCATGATCAAATTTTTGGCCGAAGCGCATCGCGGCGTGCAAGGTTTTGTGCTGGATCCCACTGGTACGCCCATTGAACGCGCTTCGCTGAAAATTAAAGGACGCGATGTTGGCTTTCAGACGACAAAACATGGCGAGTTTTGGAGAATTCTACTGCCGGGTTATTATAAATTGGAGGTGAGTGCAATGAGCAGGGAATGAAGAAATGGGTAAAATTTTATTTCGCTTTTATAGGTGTTCGCCGAGGGTTATGCGCCTCGGGAAGTGGAATTCATTGTTGTCGAGCAACATCCAACACTGTTAAATGTCACATTAACACCGTCAAAGGTTAGTTGCTTTTAATATGTTTATTTTTTTAATTTTCTTTACTTTGATTTTTATATACCAAAAATATATAATATTTAAAACTATTTTTTAAATATAATATATATATATATACAGACTATTATTGCATGCTGCACTTATACAATATCAATGCGTATTTAGAGAAGTATGTATGTACTAATCACTTTATATTAAATATATTTAATTATGGTAAAATAATTTTTTTCTTCTCTTTTTTATATTTATTCTATTCTCCCTGTTTTTATATATATATAAATATATATGTATATCTATGCTCTTTTCGCACTCTTTTTTTTTTTGCTTTTATTAAATTCTGCTCAACATTTTTTCGTACATATTTACTCGTATTACGATTTCAGCTACTTGCTGCACAGCCAACAACAGTAACAACAACACCAATTAACCAAAGAATACCAACAACAACTAGTAAAACTAAAAAAATTGAAAGCGATAGAGTAGTTTTCCCTGAAATTTAGAATCATTTTAAGTTTTCATTCAAAACTAATTATTTTCATTAAGAATTATTAAATTAATGAATTTGTAAATACACAAAAATTACGTTGAAAACAGTTGTAAATATAAATATAAACCATACAAGTACTAAATGTTTATTTTTTCTACGCGAAGTATATTTAAATAAATATGTTAACTGTACATTGTATAACAAAAAAGAGTATATTTAAGGTAGTAGTCTCCTTTGGAACCCGAAAAAAATATTTTTTTTTTTATGTAAAAGGTAGGAAATTATTGCGGTAAACGAAATTTTCAGACAATAATGTATTTTATTTAAGCTTGAAAAAAGAATTTTTGGTACAAAAAAAATTGAAACTTTCTAACCTTGTGATGAGTTTTGTGTAGCGGCGCCCGTCTGAACTCGTGAAACGGTGCCGGTGATGGAGGTCGTGCGATGTGTCTGAAATAGTAGAACCAATTGTTTCTTTTTTTTAATTTCTAAACTAAAAAAAATACCGAAGAAGTTGGAAAATTCCAAAATTTTTATGAAGTTTGAAATATAAATAATTTAAAAAAATTTCCAACTTTTTTAGTTCAAATAGAAAATAATTAAATACTGAAGTTAAATAATTTTGATGTTTTTCGCTCGGACATACAGTATGTCAATTAATTGTTTGTTTATGAAAGAAATTAAACAAAATCATTTTTCAACTTAATTTTTATTAACTAAAACAATTTTCTTTAACTGTTTTTTTTTTTTAATAATATTAGTCTGAGTAATCTGAACATAAATAATGCACACAAATTCCAGAATTCAAGACATAAAAGTAAAAGAGAAATAAAATTTCAAAAGACAGCAAATATTTTGGTGATGTCAATTAATTGTTTGCATTTTGTAAACAATTATTGCAAATATAATTAAAACTGGGAAAATATAACAGTGTTGGTACTAATATTTGGTATGACTTGTATCTATAACAGCTCGGAGACGACGAGGCATGGGCTGAATAAGGTTATTTAATTCATAATTTTCAGATATCTTCCACTCTTCCTAAATTACCTTAATAAGAGCATTTTTGTTAGTTGGGCCCGTTCGGCCACTCGCTTTTTTAAAAAATCCCATAACCCAGGACTCTGAGCAGGAGTGTCAATCACTTTACTGCAATTATATAGTAGCCACGTCCTGCACAGCGCTGATTTATGTTTGGGATGTTTGGGATGTTTGTCCTAGTTCAGCTTGTACCTTGATTTATTAAGGTTTTCCTGGTCAGCAAATGCGAATCTTATTGCACTCCTTGACAAATCGTTTTTAAGAATATCCATCATCTACTGGGTCCATCATGTTGGTATAACATTATTTTTATGTTATCGCAAAAAATAACGACATTCCAGTATTCCGCAGTCCTGTAAACATTGGTAATAGGAAAGTTGAGCCGCTTCTCAATATTAACTACCGACAGCAATGGTTTCTTTCTAGATATTTTCTAGGAGCACTTGTGTATATTTTTAAGACTTTTCGGATTGTCCCATGACTTACTGTTTTATGGCAATCATTTCTAATATCTAACACCATTTTTCCCCTTGGTAGTTTGAGGATTGTCACTGATCTGCTTTGAAATTTTTGAATGATCGCGACGAGAAAGTTTCGGTGGTCTACCTCCAAAGCGCTTTAATTCCAACCTGTTTTCTTTTTTTGCACGTTTATTAATATTTTAAATCCTAAGCTTGGTGTAAAAATATTTTACTCCTGAATCAAATATGAACCAATAAAATCCTGGTGTTTTAGATTTGTCTATAGGCAAGATTGGTCAACAATTGTAAATTTCTGAACATAATAATTATTTTTCAAAATCAATTTTTATTGAATTATTGATTAAATTAATTGATTTTCGTTTAAAAGTGCGTTAGTGACGGAAGTTTAAAAGCAGCATTGCCTTTGCATCTCGGTGAGAGTACCGAGCTTCTCCTCTAATTTCCAATAAACAGAGAGACCTTTAGTTTATACGAAGCCACCTCTGCACGACTGATCGTTCTTTAGATGAGGAGCTTTATTTTATGTCAGAAATACACTCGGAGGGGTTGACTCTCCCTGCCGAGGGGCGAGCGCAATTATAAAATTTACCTTAATTTTTTTTATTTAAATTAATTCTCTATAACTTTTGGATGTTGGTCGCACGGGGATTTGAACCCGAGCCTTCCGAATGACAGTACGCGGTCGCCGACTTAACTTAACTACCGTTGCGTAATACCAATACATGAGACCGAGAGTCAATTAACACCTTCATGAACTCGCTCTCCTTGTAATTGGCGCTCTCGGAGTTAAGCTACTACCCGTAGCAGATGAAGAGCTCGAGCTGCCTCGAGAGTCATTTCAGGTATAGACATTGCAGCAGATCAAATGGCTACTTATCCATACTCGACCCCGACATACCTGACGTATGTCTTGCATGCAATGATTCCTTTTTGTTTTTCAAACCCACTAAACGCAACTCATCTAAGCTCCCTCTCCTTTAGGTCCGAACACGTTGAAACAGCTCATTTCTTGAAGCTCCCTAATATGGCTTCGATGAGTTTGACTAACCAGCCTGTTCCTAAGCGGGGTTGGATAACAGCAACAACAACAACAACTAGGTGATAGATTACAAGTAACACTCTTCTTACATGTCTAAAGGATGCTACGCTACTAGCCATTTTCAAAGTCTCCTCCACATTTAGCGATGTCGATCGATTTGAGGTTAAACTTCCAGTGGCATTCAAATATTAAAACGTATTACTCGAACAATTCCTTTACATAAAGTAAACTTTAAAAACTGTTTCTGACTCTATCACACCGTTGCGTTGTGCACTCTTTACTCTGGAAGTGGAAATTTTACTTCCTCCAGAGACAATCGGGCATTACTATAAAATAAATGGAATAATTTATGCCAATCGAAACCCTAAAACCAACTAAGTTGTAATGATAAACTGTTCTTAACAAAATAAAAACTCAAAAAATTAAGAATTAAAATTACAATTTTCAAAAATTCAAAATTGAACGTGAAACTCATTATTTTTAGTTTCATTTAATATTAACTGAAATTCAAAATCATTTTTTTTTTTTGCTTAATGTTTTGATTTATGAGCAAAACTTCCAAAAAAAAAATATTGAGATTCAACTATTCGGCTTCGGCAATTGGCTTTTATTGTAGTAACTCTAGTTATCCTACTATTTGCTTAGTTTTCAAAAATAAGTTTGATATATTAAATATTTTTTGAATTGTTCTTTGCTGATACCTGGATTACCTTGCTTGAAAATACTTCTCTGCAATTTTAGTATTTATAAGTAAGTATTTTAGAAACAAAAAATTAATGTGGAACATTTTTTTAGTTTTTAATTGAATATAAATATAATCATTATATCTCTTTAGTAAAAACAATCACTAAAAATAATTAATTTTAAAAATTAAATAATTTTTACTAATATCTGCCAATGCGGAACATTTTCTTTATTATTAAATTCAATATAAAAATAATAGATAGCCTATTATAATCATTTATTTTTTCGATAACTTTTAACTATTTAACTCAAAGCAATTAATTTTTCTTACTAATAACCCATTTTTACTAATACTAAATATAAACATTGTTTGTTAATAATATTTGCGCTTCTATTTTATGCTTGAAACTAATATAAATATATATATACAAATATAAATAATATTTAAATAACTGTGAAACTATTAATAAATCAGTAATAAATAAAAATTAAATATATATGTAATTGAATAAATATATGTATCAATAATACACATTCATTTACTAAAAAAAAAAAACTTTAAAAAACTCACTTCCCTTAACCTGACTATTTTTAATTCCATTATAATTCTTATTTTTTCGCTGTGTACCAGCTGTAGCTATTTCATATACCATTATGTTGCATACCTACAGGCGTCATCACATACAGCATCACTCTAATGAAAAATTTTCATAAAATTTTCAGTCTTCGTACTCTGCCTATAATAACTGTTTTCTTTTTTGTTTTCTTTCCTCCACTCCACATCTTCACAGCGCGTCGAAGGCACAACAGTACCCTTCTACCGCCCCTTACCCATACCGCAACAACAGCAACACTATCGTCCCATTAGCCCCACATACAGTGACAGCGGCATTTTCTCGACCATCAGCAGCGGTCTCAACAGTTTGTATTCGAATATTTTCGGCTGATCTTTGCTCTCTTGACTGGCGCTCTTCATCGATATGAAATTGGTCTTTCTGTTGTTGACCTTTTTCATTGTAATTACCATCATACATATAGCCAGCCGTGCGGATTTCGAGACACCACAATAAATGGAACGCTAGGCAACGAAGAGACGGACGGAAGACGATGAGCGCACTGTTAGGGGTAGTAAACGTACAAAATAAGAGAATTAAGGCATAAAAGGAATAAATTAAAAATTAAAAAAATTAAAAAATATAGTTAAAAAATAAGAATAAATGAAAAAGTAGATATAAATATCAGCAAAATAGAACAGTGAAAATACACTGCCTGCATAGTGTAATGAAACGTTAGAACTACCTTCAAACATATACATATATGTATATACAAATTCAAATGATAATATTCAAAATTAACAAACTCTATATTCTGCATAAAATAAATTTAAAAAAAAATACCTACTTTGACTTAAAGCAAAAAAAACCATATACAAAAAAGTAGAGAAATGTATTTTTAAAATTCTGCAAAACTGTTCAATTAAAGCCCATAATTATATATGAAATGAAAAAGTATTTATGTATGTTGAAAATTTCAAAATATTTTTGTAGTTGCATATTTCTATGTATGTTTAAGCGACAATAATGACGTTTGGAGAGTTAAAAAATTAACAAAAACGAAAAAATTAAATTAAAAATAAGTAAAATTCAAACTGCACTTACGAGCTCTTAGCTCTCAAAAAATATATATTTAATAGCATAAGGTTAATCTTAAGTTTTTGCGTTCATCTCTACATTTAATGTGAATTATAAAAAGGTTTTTGTCCAATTCATATTTATGTGTTATTGTAAGTAGCTGTAAAAAAAAAACAATTCACAATTATTCCATACATTAATAAAGTGACAGATTTTTTATTTATTGAAAAAAAATAATATTTAACATATATTGATTTTCATACGGAGAATAGATCCGCTTAGATCGCATATTAGCAGAGGGGCTCCACTAACGAAACGATTTCATCGAAATGAAATGGGTAATGTTGAAACTGCTCCAGATTGGCGTTAACGTTCATGTTAAAATCGCTGCTTGCCATGCTATTAATAGTGGACTTCAATTTTAACGACTTAACATTAACGGTTAACGACTTAACATTAACTGTTAACGACTTAACATTTTCTGTGAACAACTTAACATTAACTGTTACAGACTTAACATTATCTGTTAAAGACTTAGCATTAACTGCAACATTTGGTTTCGGGTAAAAATGAAATAAAATTTATTTTCTTAGCATTTTCAAATGATTCAAGTGAAATTAAGCAGTTCTTGGGCCTTCCAAAACGTCATTACACCGTTTTGTGCATAAAGACTTGGGTCTGTCAAGCTTGTAAAATTCGGTTAACATAAAAGTTTAAGCCGGCTGACCCTTCAACAACGTCGTGTCTGGGCTGATTGGATATTTGAAATTAATGGAAATGATCCAGAATTTCATCGAAAAATCATCTTGACTGATGAGACCCATTTTCATCTCGATGGCTACGTCATTGAGCAAAACTATTATCTAACCAAACCTAAGATTTATTATTGAAAAGCCTCTGCGTCCTCAAGGTGTAACTGTTTGGTGTGGTTTATGGTTCGGCGCGCATAAGTTGCGGTTAATGGATTCTGCTTGCGAGAGATGATTAATGATTTTTCATGACTATCAATTTAAAAAAGGGAAAATTTTCCGGGTCGCGTTATCTTTCGTAAAGGTGATCGCAATTTTCCACCAAGATCTTGAAGGTGTTAACCTTGTGACCTCTTTTCTTGAAGCCATGTGAAATTTGAGTTCCCTACCTACAGGATTTTAATCGCCACTGTACGACAAGCTTGTCTTACCACGATATATTCCGTCAACTTAACCGCAGAGACGGTTCGGTTCTGCACCACGTGGATAACGCGCATCCTCAGAGAAGTGCGCATCGAGGAGGCTCTTGTTGCTATGGAGGAGAGTTTCAAAAAGAAGACCGGAATGCATCCATCCGTTATCGCACGCAACAAATGGAGCTGTGCTCATCTACCTCAATGAAGGATCTTGGTTTGCGGGCTTACAAAATCCTACTCGTGCAAAAATTGAAGCTTAACAACCATCAAGCGCGACGCATATTCCGCGGGTGAGACCACAGGGAGATGGCCACCAAACCAAATTTTCAGCTATGAACCTAACTTTTGGTTGAATGGACACGATAATAAATGTAAGTTTGTCGCATTTAAAGTGAGTGTGCTCTATGGGATTTCTTCGAGACATGAAGCCGGTTATACTGTTGCAGTCAATGGTGGAAACTCTGAAACCATGATTAACAACCTTTTCGCGCTTAAACTAGAGAACGTTGATGTAGACAATCTTTAATTCCAATAAGATGGCGCAACATGCCATACAGTCAAGGATACAATCAATATATTAAAGTAAATTATTAGCCTGCCTCGTGGGCTCCAAGATCGTTCGATTTAACTTCGTTGGACTGCTTTTTGTGGGATTATGTGAAGTCGATTGTCTGCGCAGGTAAGCCCGAGCCGTTTAACGCTTTAAAAGAGAATAATTGTCGCTTTATTGCTGACATAGAAGTATCAAAAATGACTGATGGTGTTGGTCCCGGAATCTATTGCAATGAACTGGATCTCAGGACGTAACTGTGGAGCGAAATATTTGATGACCAAACTAAATACGAATAGCGCTAACGACTCGATTCAATGAAATTTTCGAGATGTAGTAGAAAGTGTAGAGAGTCAGGCATTAGAAAGATGTTTGAACAGCTCCTATGTTTCTGTCCAGCTCTATCTAAGACTCTTCTTCGAAACCTAAGAATTTTGTTGTCATGAAGGCTAGAGGAAGGGTCTAAACTGATTCTCAAATATACAATAGCTATTCAAAGAGTATAAAACATTGTTGTTTTTGTAGTTGTTGCTGCTGTTGTGCTTGTTATTGTTGCCGTTAAGTCAATAGAAAGCAATCGGAGTACAGTGTCCGAGACGTTTAACTTGAGTACCTGCCGTCGACGGCCTAACCTCACGGTGTTCAAAAACACAACGAATGAACACTGTTGATCAGCACCCCATGGTGAGAGCATTACTAAAGGTAATACTAAAACTCTGGTTCCAACCGGCTGTGTGATATGAACACGCCGGCCACCTTGGTTGGGCTCGAGGCCCATCTAAAACCTCTGCCGTGCTATGGGTCCGACACTCGGCAGCAATGCTCCTCCACACTCAGTTCTTCATTCCAATCGACACCAACTTTTCCCGCATTTGGGCTTAAACCACAGCCACCACGATACTCCCCAGTGGCCTTGCCGCAATGAACAGGACGAAGCAAGTTCCGAGGACTCCTGTTCCCCGTGGTACCGGGTTTAATGTCTCCGATCAGACCTTGTAACCAGAGTTACTACGAGGTCGGCTTCCATGCAGCCCTGGATTGGTAGCCAGGATATTAGTCGCCTTTAACGACAGGCATGCCTTGCCGCGGGTGTATTCTTTTCCCGGGCCCGCAATTGGGGTACAGTAAGAACTTTGCTAAACTTACAAATTGTATATAAACCCAGCTCATCTCCCGTCTATTAAATCACCGTAACTTGCCATATCATTTAGATGTCGCTTGTAACAGCTGAGTATCTATAAAAGTGCGTTCCAACCGAAATCAATTTTTCCTTACATTTTTAGCTCACTAAAATCCATAAGTCTCTTTAACTATTATAACAATTCTCTTAGCCACCCTTAAACACACATATTTTTAGTCCTCCAACCCCTTAACCAGCCAAAAAAAAAAACAGTTTGACACCCTTGACTGACTTTCGCTCGTCAGCAAAGTAATTTCACCACCTGTTCCTACACACTACTCACTCAGTACATGCTCAGCTTGTAGGCGATCAACTCAAAATAAGAAAATAATTCCCTCAAACAGGCCAATTTGAATATTTTTGTTTTCTGCTATTATTCATTTTCGAGCAAAGAAAATTTTTAAAAATTTCTTTAACTCAGGCAGCTTTGTAAGTAACTTCAGAAATTGAAGAAAAAACGAAAAATTCCAATCAGTTGTGAAAATATATTTTTCAATTTTACAATTACAAAAAGTTATTTATTTTAACACATTATATATTTCATAATTGGTTTTTGCAATTTTTGTATTGGTCAAAAAAAATTTAACATTCACAAGGCGTCAGTGAAACACACCAACAACTGATTATTACAGCAAAAGAAAATAGTGCAAGTAATAAGAGTGGAAAGAATCATTTGGATTGGTAAGCGACTAAACGAAACAATTATTCAGAAGAAAGAGAAGTTCCATCATTCCGCGTTTGTTGCACAACTCAAGACCTGAACATGAATGAGTTTGATGGTAAGAAATTCTACGGATTCTCGTTGCATGATGATCCTGTGCTGAGTACGACAACAAGGAATTTTGAATTTAAGGTAAAAATGCAATTGAAATACTGTAATTTGAGGTTAGAGGCAAATTGGCAAAAAAGATGGAGAATTTCTATTGATTTTATTAGGAGCATTTTATTGCGTACATTTTGAAATCATTGACATTTCTTTTCTTTACTATTTCACATTTTAATTTGGTTTAGGAAACTTCATTTGCTACTTTAATTACTTACTTTCATTTAACTTTGAAGCATTTTATGGATTACATTATTTTGTTTTATTTTATTTTATTTTATTTTATTTTATTTTATTTTATTTTATTTTATTTTATTTTATTTTGTTTTATTTTATTTTATTTTATTTGATTTTATTTTATTTTTTTAATTTTTTATTTTTATTATTTATTTTGTGTCTTTTTTTTTGTTTTATTTTTTTTATTTTGTTTTACATTATTTCTTTATACTTCATTTCAATTGTTCCACCTTCGGCTAATTTTTCTATCCTGCAGTATACTCGCCCCGAACATTTGGAACGTCTCATACAGAAGGTCCAGCAAAATGATCCGGAGCACGACCGCAATCGCAAAAATGAAATCTTAAACCGCCTTCGCAAAGCAAAGAAAATACCACACAACCCCGATATGACCATGCCGTACCGACGTGACGCTGATATAGAGACACATGTCTCGCGCGGTGAAACGGTCGCACGTGTGCGTAATCTAAGTGATACGGAAATCAATCAGCTCATCGGCAAAGTCAAGAGCTATGGGGACTTACAAAAGCAGAACATGGCCGACACATACACCAAACCCAAGGACACCTCGAAAGCCATGAATCCGCCAACGGCATTGAAAAGCATCTTACGAACTACGGCGCATGAATTTCCGCATAGCAGCTGTGGATGTGATCTACCAACCAGGCCTGCAGCCGCGAAAGTACTTCCAAATAATTTATACGACGTATCTGAGGAGAATAGTGCTGGTGATGGTGAGATGTTTTATTCAGAACCCACGTCTGAGGATCAAATACTTTGCAATCCCTTCGACTTGCCGCACGAACCCCTGTACGAACCGCACAGCGTACATTTACAACATATGCGACGCGAACTCCACAGCGGTTCGAATAAACTGCCAGACGTGCCAGAAGAAGATGAGCTCTTCGCATCCAGAACTGTTATGCCGACATTAGTTGAGGAATATCGTTTCCCACAGGCTAAATGGGCGGAAATCATGGAAGCACCGATCATACAGAAAGCTGAGGTAGCGGAAATCAAGTGCTCTGACTTAACCGAAAAATCCGAGCGTTTGCCGACAAATGTCACCTACACAATGCACTCCCACGAACTACAATTGCCGATACAAATAAGTACGCCCGAAATGATGTTGAAAAATATGACGCCTCCGCCGAGTTTGCCCAACATGGCGCTCACATATGCGATGAACAGCTACGAAGATAATCCATCAACCTACGAAATAGAGGATAGTGACTTAGAGTATGAGATGATGGAACGCGCTGAGTACACGAAATATTGTGGAACTCGCCCCAAAATCGAGGAATTGACAAACAACTCGAATGGAAGTGGAGGCCTGGCAGAATTTGTTGAGCTCGAAGTGAGTAAATCACGAACTAGAACTAGAAAATAAGAAAAGCTTCTGAAGATACTGAAATATAAATTGTCTTGTTTTGCTATTTGTCTGTATGTTTATGGAAACAATTAATTTCAGGCAGAAATTCCAAGCATAAATTTAAGCTTCCTAAAAAACGTTTCGCCCATGATGTACTCGGATTTGACCGACGACCGTGAGGAAGATAAGCGAGCGAGCACAAAACACAAGGTTACTGATAGTTAACAGATAATTTAAATAATATAATAAATATTAATTTTCTTCTTCTCACTGCACAACAGCAAATAAAAATCCTTTCCGCAAATCGTACCAAAAAATCTCCATCACCGACATTGGAAAAAGAAGCAAAGAAAAAAGCTTCGATAGCAAAAAAGAAACCAATTGAAGAAATCAGACCGAGTCCACGTCGAAAGACCTCATCGTCGGCACGTAGTGCTGATCTATCGCCCACCCTTGAAAGGTCATCGCACACACCACGCTCATATGGCAAACGTTCAGCGACAAATACACCGCGTCAGCAGAAGGAACGCAATCAAATGAGCGCCAATGAATTGCGTAATATGAAAAATATTGTTTCGACGAAGTCAATTGAAGATTTGAAAATGGAAAAGATGGCGATATTTGCAAAAATGACCAGCACACAGGAGAGGATTATTGAGAATTTAGATAAATTGCGGTGAGTTGGCTCTGGGAGGCCTCTAATGAAAGCTCGATTCGAATATTTTCTTAAAGTTATTGCCTCGACTCGGCAGCAATCTAAACTTCTTTCAGAACCTCTAATGGCTTACCAGACACACTGTCGGTAGCGAGAATCCTTCCCTAAGATCTGTCGAATGTACAATGACCTGACGGAACTCCGAACTCCACTCACAAGGGAAAACAACACCAAAACTGTTTTGGTTCCTTATAGCTCGAGTTTGCCTCTTCGCGAAACGTCTCAGTGATTTCATTTCTATTTCTACTTCGACAAATAAGAGATTTCTTTACAATTTACTTGAGTTTATGTAGCTGCGGTTCCGACCAGCATTCTTAAGCCCTTTGGCAGACCGAATTAATGCGTTCGATTGATTCCATATATCTGCAGCTGCTTCAAAAGTTATTTGAGAAGCAACCCATTATTTCATCGTGAGTTTCCAGTGGGGTCTCTGAATGACATAGAACCGACTTAGAAGAGAGGACTTTCTTGATATTGTGGTGGCCAGACATGCCTTGTCACGTTACACCTTTTAGAGAACTCCGATCAGTGCATATATTTGGCTGCGGATAGGCTTTACCCACGGCTTGTGCAGATTTCGTATTAGTTAAGATGCTTCTGGATACCCAGATCAAGATCGTACTACACTCCTCGAGAGTCTATTGAGAGTGCTTATACATTTTGTTTTGTTGGCCACTTTTGATGTGATAAAGTTGCATTGAAAGTTCTGCCTAGAAGACGCTGCAATGTTGACTCATGCTCAAATTGAGTGAGGGAAATATGGAGGGAATCTCATATCCCATCCTATAATAGAGTTTAGAGACGTATGTATATAAAAACTGGCCTGTAAATTTTACGATTCGTTCCTCTGAGGAATAGTCCATCTCCTCGGAACTTTGTAAAAAAAAACTAGTATCCGGACCTTCCCAATACCTTGGTCTTGCCAAGACTGAACTGTTTTCAGACCAACTGCATAGCAGCTTGCTTCAAGTTTAGTGGGGAGATCTATTGGGTTGCCCAAAAAGTAATTGCGGATTTTCCATATAGTCGGCGTTGACAAATTTTTTCAATGGCTTGTGACTCTGTAATTGCATTCTTTCTTCTATCAGTTATCAGCTGTTACTTTTAGCTTGCTTTAGAAAAAAAGTGCGCGAAATTTTGTTTACATTTGTTTGTTTGGCGTCAATTTCAATATGGAGCCCACAAAGGAGCATTTTCGTCATATTTTACTTTATTATTTCCGTAAAGGAAAAAACGCGGAGCAGGTTGCTAAAAAGTTACGAGATGTGTATGGTGATGAAGCCTTAAAAGAAAGACAGTGTCAAAATTGGTTTCGCAAATTCCGTTCTGGAGATTTTTCACTTAAAGATGAGCCACGTTCAGGTCGGCCAAATGAAGTTGATGATGACCAAATCAAAACATTAATCGAATTGGATCGTCATGTAACTGAGCGTGAGATAGGAGAGAAGTTAAATATACCAAAATCAACCATTCATTATCACATAAAAAGTCTTGAACTGGTGAAAAAGCTTGATATTAGGGTACCACATGTATCGAAAGAAATTCATTTAACACACCGAATCAACGCTTGTGATATGCACCTTAAACGCAATGAATTCGATCCGTTTTTAAAACGAATCATAACTGGAGATGAAAAATGGATTGTTTACAACAACGTTAGTCAAAAACGATTATGGTCCAAGCATGGTGAACCAGCACAAACCACTTCAAAGGCTGATATCCACCAAAAGAAGGTTATACTGTCTGTTTGGTGGGATTGGAAGGATGTCGTATATTTTGAGCTGCTTCCAAGGAACCAAACGATTAATTCGGATGTTTACTGTCAACAATTGGACAAATTGAATGCAGCCATCAAGGAGAAGCGACCAGAATTGGTGAATCGTTAAGGTGTCATATTCCACCAGGACAACGCTAGACCGCACACGTCTTTGGTCTCTCGCCAAAAACTGAGTGAGCTTGGCTGGGAACTTTAGATGCATCCACCTTATAGCACTGACCTTGCACCGTCAGACTGCTATTTGTTTCGATCTTTGCAGAACTCCTTAAATGGTAAAACTTTCGGCAATGATGAGGCTATAAAATCGCACCTGGTTCAGTTTTTTGCAGATAAAGGCCAAAAGTTCTATGAGCGTGGAATACTAAATTTGCCAGGAATATGGCAAAAGGTTATCGAACAAAATGGCAATTATATATTTTATTAAAGTTCATTCTAAGTTTTATTAAAAATTCATTTACTTTCTTTTAAAAAATCCGCAATTACTTTTTGGGCAACCAATAGTAAAAGAAAGTTTTGAAGAGTCTCTTATGCTTTTTTTTCGTCACTGGAAAAGTCCCCGTTCAAAGACAGTTAAATTTTGTCCAATTTGCTTCTAAAAGTGATTTCTTTCATCCAGTGAAGTCGTAGAAAAGTATGGGCCTTGCTACCACTCTGTATATCTAGTGGTTTTCTACACAGCCCTGTCTTTTGTTAAAGGGTGCTTTAATGGCATATGGTGCAGCTATTCCTTTTCTTTTTCTTACTACCGTGTTGTGGGTTCTCTTAGGTTTATTATCCAAGATTACTGCAAGATATTTAATTTCTAGAGAGATTGATCGATGCCTTTTTTTAAAAATGTCATAACTGGCGCTTTGTAACTGCTGAAGCGGGCCTACAGTTTAGTCTAAGCCGCCTCCGAACGCCTGATAGATTTTTATACTGAGTTTTTATTTTATATCATAAATACACTCGAAGGGCTTCACTTTCTGTGTCTTTTATTAGGAGAGGTTTAAATGGAAGTTAGTTTATATCTGGTAGGGAGGAGTAATACATATTTCGATAGTTTGATGTCCAGCCCGGTATCCTGTCTCCTTCCAGAGTGGCGAGGTGAGAAATCTCAACAGTTGCATAGGAACTTCTCCTTGCGAGATTACCCTTTTGATATTCTTTTTTTCCAGCACAGCTGCTCCTCAGGTTGGACTCCTCGCTTCTCACTAAAAGCTCCCTATACGACTAGAAAAATGCCTAGCATATATTGCTCGAAGTAAGTCTCTTCTCAATACAACCAAGCACGACATATAGCGCTGTGTTGACGGAGTATTGGCAGAGATTTTTCTTACCTTTGATCATCTCTCGGGTGTATAGGTTGTATTCTATGCATTACGGTCTAAACTTAACTGTATATGAAAGACAGATTCCACCTTTTCCCTGTCAAATTCAAAGATTTTTGATTTATGTTATAATATTTTTTTCTATCATTCCAGCATTAGCTTGTTGGAACTCTATGTGCCGGATAGTCATTATGAGAAGACCAGACGTCAGAAGAATGCATTTGAATTCTCAGTGAGATTCTCACGTAATTTCCTATATCCACTAAAGGGCATGGTAAGGCAATGTCTTAATCACTTTACTTGACTTTTTCATCTCTTTCTACTCCATCTGCCAAGCAGATCGAAGATCTTCGCATGGTTTCAGTGGAGCAACTCTGTAGTGCAGCGTCAAATGAGGCCACTCAACGTGTGCTCAATATTTTCACACTCATCCATCAGTCCCTGCAGACCTATTTCAAACAACTGCGTTACTTTCTACTCGATCAAGTGCCACAAAAATTGAATACACTCATAGAGTTGACCAGCACACTGGTGAGCATTTGTTTGGAGAAACAAGTTTTCGATCGAAACGATGCCATTATTGAGTGCCTGCAAGATCGTTGTGCGAAATTTTTGGGCTTTCTCGAAGATATGCATGAAGAACGCTTCCTTACAGCGCGAGATAATTATCGTAAAGCCAGTTTTGATAAGGTTGGTTAATGGTTTAAAGCTCTTTTTATTTAAAAGAAAAATTCTTCATTTCATTTGTTATTGTCTTTCCAACAGACCGCTTCCAATTACAGCCTCAAAATGTTTATGAACGATCTAAATATGTACGAACCAAAATTGGTGCCGAAGAACCACTATAATCACCGACGCAAACCGAAGTTACGTCGTGTACTAAAGCCGACCACGACGAAAACGAAATCGAATGCCAATCTGCCGCCGACGCCGAAAACCTCACAAATGGTTATCACAAAGCCCGATGGCGATCAGATCTCAACGCATATCAATGAATTGGCGAAGAGTTCGGTAAGCTGACATCACTTTATATACACAACTAAATTATTTAAAAAATCTAAATTTTGTATCGTTTCACTACCACCCACACACAGGGTCTCTTTCAGAGCGCACAAAACATCGCCATCGATGCAATAGCGCCACCAGCAGAGCCCAGCATAAATTTAGAAGACTCGCCCGTACTGAATAAGGCACTCATTGAGGCCTTTCAAACCGTTACAAAAGAGCAAATGCGTCAATTGCTGCAGCCGATTGTGCAAACACTCGGCTCGGCCATTGAAAAGAAGGTAAGTCCTCCACTCAATCTTATGCCCGATAACTCTACCTATGTCTATTTCGTTACTCCCCGCCGCAAAATCCGCCGTCTGCTATACCGAAAATCAAACTCGAAGGTTTAATGTCTAAAGCGAAACGAAAACCGTCGATGGTGAAGTATTCATATCAGTTGTGCGAATCAGACACCAAAACGACAGAGAAATAAGCGAAAAGCTACTAGTAATCGAATTGCAACAACCAACAAAAAAATTGTATTTTATTTTATTTAAATTTTTGTCGAATCGCTTAAAATTTTCAGTGTGTCACATAACCTCAAATTATTGTTTGTAAAAAATAATGCCTTAAGAAAGCCGCCATTATTCAGTGACATGAGAAAAGTGTAAGCCACATAAATGATATATAAATTATTGAAATCGGTGGCGAATAGGCGAATATATATGTACATATGTGCATGGTGTTTGGCCGAACCAGTAAAATCTAGTAGACGCATCTAGTACCAATCCATGGTTCCTTCTTCTGAGTGTCAATTAGGCCACCTTTAGAACACACTAAGCAACATCAATTCAAACAAATTTTTCTTTCGAATTCGCGTGTTTGTTTTGTGTTTCAAGGGTTTTGAAAAACAGAGTTGCTTGATTATGAAATAAAAGAAAACGAATTTGGATGGAAAGTCTATAATTATATGATGTTTATATTTAAACCTAAAATTATGGATGTCACAACCACACCTAACAATAACAGCTGATTCAACCACCTTTCTGATTGTTGGTACCGTACCATAACCATAGCTACCAGCTGAATTTCGGTATTTCGCTGTACCCACAGAGGCTTCTTTGCTGCTTTTTAATATTTTTGGTTTGCTATTGAGGCGAATTCACAACGATGAGAGCAGCAGAAGAACAAATACAGTAAATGCCGTGTATTCTGTTTTTGCTTTAACGTAGCGACTGTCAACTCTCTATTTCACTCTTTTTCCGGGCAAACCACAATCACAATTCTAGAGATTTGAATAACATGGTAACAGCCATGACTTTATGGTATAGTTGGCCTAATTTAAGGCTCCGTTCTAACCACCGTAGAACATCATTCCCATTCTTTAATTCTGAAACTCTCGGAAATTCATAATGGGGGTGTGCAAAAGTTCACTGACCTTTCTTCCTTAAAAAATATACAAATGTATATTTCAATAGATTTTTGAATCTTAAATGTATTAAAATTTTCCTCGAGAGAAGTTAGAAGACGGTTATATGAAGCGACTTGTAGGATTTAGTAATTTTTCGTCGAGAGAGTACTTTACTTTTCAAATGCCTGTTCAGTCCAAGGAAGCACCTGTTGGCAAGAGTGTTTCTGTGTTGGATTTCAAGGCTGACATTGTTGTTGGTATTAACAGTGTTAGGCGAAATTATCCACCACTTTAAAGTAATGACTGTCAACTGTGATGTGAGAGCTAATCCGTAAATGCGCCTACTCTTTGCTTAATAGCAGAAGATATTTCATCTTGTCCACGTCCACTATCAGAGCCATTAAAGGCCTGGTTGTTCCAGTTGTACGTTCTTGTAAAAGGTTGCGTCTTATCTAATCAGTTCTGCAGCTCTTATTTATATCTCCAGCATCAAATTTAACTGTGTTTCTGGTGCCATAGCGCTGTAGAGAGACAGCTACTTACTGTGTTGTAGTCGGTCGAAGAAGAGCAAGTATGTGTCCAAGGCCTCTTTTCTGAGATATGGCGGAAGGTCTAGTCAATGACGGGTTTTCCAAAGTTACACATATAGTACTCATTATGTTGATGGTGAGCTTTAAGCTCTCACACAATACCCTCGATAGAACCGTATAAAGTATGACATTAAGAGCAGTCTCTCCTCCTGAAATCGTAGTGCATGTTTTCATCCGGCCTTGTTCTTTAAAGATGCTAATGCCTCAGTTCTTTACTACCATATTCGATAACTTCGGCTGCTACCCTATTGGACCCCATCGCTTGCTACTATTCAGACGGTCAATTTCTATTCGAAATTCTGTAGTGTTGGGCAATGGAACGTCTGTTCTGTTTAATCATCTACTGAAGAATGATGTTCGTCCTGATGATTCACTTTCATACAATAAAGCTGGCTGATGAGTGAGGAAAACTTTAACGGCGATTCACCTGAGAGTGGCTAGAAAAACGATTCTTGTGCCGTTTGGGATAAAGGGAATATCATTAGGCTGTGCATAGGCCTTGGGACCTACTACATGCAAACAATACTCTAATGAAAACATCAAGTAAGGTTGGAATGAGGGACCTCTCTTGATAACAACTCCCTCAAATATTTAAGGGATCACAAAATGACTGTAAACAGCTGTCGGCTATATAAAAAGCTAAAATTTTGGTTTCGGATTTATGGCCTGTCCCCACTTAGTATTGGCATACACTCCAGTGAATAAACGTCTCGCCGCAATACGCATCAAATTCAAAATTTTCTGTAGGTCGCTTATTTGTGCTCATGACAGGACGTAAGAGAAGTTCGATGTGGCTAAGGGTCACCAGGTCGATCATACTAACTTGGCATCTTTCTTTTTTGTCTACAAATGCTTCCTGCTTCCCTTTTCAACTCTCTTTCGGCTACTCCACTCGGTACCTACGTTACTGTTGGCAGTAGATAATTTCGTCAATCTTGGAAAAAGAATTTACATCAGCAACAACAATGTGTCTGGAGATCCAACGCGTAGAGGCTAATAATATCTGATTAGTCAGTGTTTTCGGAGATTCCTGGAGAAAGGATTTGCGTAAGGTTTATGGGCCTCAGCGCAATCGATGAAACGACTAGCTGTGACATAGTTCAGCGCATGAAGAGACAGCGTCTACACTGGCTAGGTCATGTAGTCCGAGAACTCCAGCTTTTTTTGTTTTCTATGCAGTACCTGCCAATGGAGGCAAAGGGAGAGGAAAACCTTCACTCCGTTGAAAAGTTCACGTTGAGAAGGACCAAGCTACACATCCGATTGAGGTCGAACCTCGAAAAAGCAAAATATTGATTCCACGTTCAAAAGTGCGTGAGACTTGCTAGCAGAAATAGATCCAAGAGATTTTTGACGATCTAATTTGAGATGAAAGTTCTTGCAAACCACGGAACAAAAAATAGTTCAAATTAATTGTGTCCGTCAAAAGCTCGAAATAAACGGTCCCCTTGAAAACCCACTGAACGGACAACCAGCCACGAAGTGATTTGAACTGGCTTATCCTTTTTAGACCATGATCTTTGGCACCTTGCATAATACTAAACAACCCTCTTTTCTTCGCCAGTAACAATGAAATGGATGCTTTCGTTGACGCTTGATAAGTAAATCACAGTCGTTAATGAGAGTAAGCAAATTTCGAATGTCAAACTTCGAAATACACCAAACATTTTGTGTATTTGTAAACGGTCGCATTAGAAAATTTTAATCTTTTAGCAATCTCTCGAGTTGTTATTCGACTGTTTGCAACGATCAACGACCTTATTTTATTCACAGCTGCCAGAGTCCTTCCAGGACGTGGTGCATTCTCAGGATCGAAATTGCCGAAGCGAAATTTTTCAAACGAATTTTGGCATTGGCGTACGGTCAGCACATCGTCTCCGTACACATTACACAACTCTCGCCCAACTTGAGCTGTATTTTTACTCTTTCGAAAATAAGTATGCCGTAAAGGCTGTTTTCGATCTTCCATCTTCGAAAGTCCACCAGACAAAATTTAAAATTAATTTAAAAAAAATTTTCACACAGAAGCCTTACTGTTTCAGCTGTTCAAGTATGCAATGGTCCAGGGGTTAACTGCGAAGTTGGTTGCGAAAAAATTCAATGAGATCAGCTGAAGGAACCAATAAGTCTGGCTTTTAAAGCAGATAGCGTTTCTATAAAAAAAAATAAAACTACCTTTATTTTTTGTGGTTTGCTTTTATTTTATTTTTTTATTATTTTTATTATTTTTGTTGATTGTTTACACATTGCATTATTATATTTTTCATATATATACATATAATTTATATGTAAATTTTAAAAATTTCAATTAACTTAATTTTGTAATATTACGAAATATTGTTCATGTGACTTTTGTTTTTTACACCGTTATTTGTAAGTATCTACATTTAACATTAATAATTTTTTTTAATAATTTTGCGCAGGGAATTGATTTTCAAAAAAATGCAATCAAAACTCAAATTTTTCAATTTTTCCTTATTGGAAATGTTTAAATATTTATAAAAAAAAAAATGGTTTTGATTGAAACATTTTTTTTTTTTTTTGAAAATCATTAGCGAGGCAAATTTTATAACAGTTTTTTATAGATTTGTTGTTAAATATTTATATATAATGTTGTGTTTGGAGTGCCTGGAATTTAAAATAATAGTTTTTTGTTTTCTTGTGCACGGTTTTCAATTTTTTTAGCAAAACATTTAAAATGAAGCAAAGCAAATTTTCAAAATTTTTAAAATTTTCAAAATTGAAAAGAAACAAATTTTGCTGAGAGCTTAGTATACAAAAAAAAAATATTTTTTTTTACGCCGAAAATTGTTTTATTTTTACTAAATTAAAATTCGATGGAAATTAGTTTTACCAGCAGAAGTTGAAGAAAATAAAAACCGTTAGTTAAAATGCGAAAATTAAAAAAAAATTCTTACTTAGGAATAGCATTCATTATAATTTACATAATTTTTTAGTCATTGTAATATAAAAAACAATTAAGTTAAATTTTTTCTTTCTCAAAATCCAAAAAAAAAATAAGAACAAAGAAAATTGAAATTATTTTAACGCATCAAACGCAAATGGAATCTTATATAATAAATTTGCCTGCAGTTTTGGTTTTAATATGTACATAAGTATGTTCGTAGTATCGATCCGATCGTTTGAGTGGGTGTGTGTTCTCCAAAAAATCCATACTACAATAACAACTACTTAATCTGTCCGGCAGTTTGTCTTCAGTTTAGGTGCAGTAGCGTTCAGTGAGGTGGTGAGTTGAGTTCGGGCGTGTGGAACGCATATTGGAATGCATGTGGACCTTAAGTCTGAGCATAAGGATTTTATATACATACATATTTGAAATACATATATTTATATACTTATATGAAGTGCTGTTAATTTGAAAATGTTTAGCGTGGATTTGCGCAGTTTCCACTTGATTCTTGTTTAGTAGCGTCACAGCGTGTTAGAAGAAAGTCTTAAAAAAAAATTACTTCACAAACTACATATTTGCAAATTTACATGCTTTCTTGTTGTTTACATTCGTTGTTGCTTTGTGTATTATTTTAATTGCATTATTTTTTGTATTTATCTGTTATTTGAGTTGCCTTTTAAATCTAAATTTTCAGGTAATTTAAAGTTCATTCTCCGACTCTCTTCCGCTCTCTCCTGTTCTTTCCACTTCTTTCTCGATTTCTCTTTGCTCAAACATTATCCAACACACTTGAGTTTTACTGTCGCACTGCCTTGTTTCTAGGCTGAGCACTCCGTGCACACGGGCTTATTCTCTTCCACTGCAAAAACGCTGGCCGTTATGGGATTGGCGCATTTCTGTTGGCAAATAATTAATATTAATAGATTTTTTATAGAAAATTATTTTATTTTATTTTATTTTTTTGTAACAAACCTTGCATTTGAAACAGTCCCTATGCCATTTATTATTTAACGCCACAATCGCATTCTCTGTTATCGGCTTGGCACAGCCCGCGCATCGTGCCGCGAATAGTTCTTCAAAGTCTGTCTTACAGTAGGCACGTCCGTCGCGCTCATAGAACGAAGTGCCCACTAGGGGTTTCTGACAAGGTCCACCACAGACGAAACAATCCTCGTGCCATGTCTGACCGAGTGCTTTGATTGTGCGCTGAAAAGAGAGAGCAGAATGATAAACAAATGTTGTTAACAAAGTTTAAATTAATTATAATTGATTAGCTCAATAAGGGAGTAAGAAGAAAAAATAATTGCTCTAAGAAAAAGTTTAAACTCAAACTGCACTCCTTTATTAGATTTATACCTTTTTCTCAGAGGCGAAACAGTAGAAATATCCACTGAAGATGATGTCCAAGTGCAGACAAGACTTCAAGGTGGAATGAAACTGCAACCTGCCGAACACCTGGCTGAAATTGGATAAGAGCTCACGTGGTATGCGCTCCTTAAAACCTGGGAGCATAGCAATTCTGACTAACCACTGTCTGTTCGGGCTAGATGGCAGTGGCTCTCTAAAGAAGATGCGGAGGAAACAATCACACATCTCTCAAGCGACGATGCTGTTTTGTATTTTGCAATTTCGGAACCCTACTGTTGGATAGAATGGTAAATTGGACTTTACAACTTTCTTCATGCATTGCTGCAAGCAGACTGCTACTAGGGCCTGACATTCTCATCGTACCAGAGAGAATATGTGCTCTGGAACCCATGTTGTTGTTATTGTGAATCGTTAAACATCACTTAGAAACTGGCATAGTTAGTCGAGACATCAAGGTCAGCTAGAGAGAGCTCTGTTTCGACATGTTTGGACCGGCGAAAGACGGGTGCTAGATCGGTGTGTTTTAACAGGCACGCAAACAGCATCGAGCGACGACTGAAGGCATGCATGGTAGTGGGGTAGCAGTAGAACCTCGTATGGTATCCAGTTCGAGGTATTCATCTTCTAGAGTCAGGATTAGGAGTGCGATTATGTCATTCAAAAGATGGCAGTCAATGGAAGTTTTAACAGACTCTCTGTTAATGGGGTTTCTGGTCTGTTGGTATCTCGTCTAGTAAAGCGGTTCTCTGTGAATGGAATTCGTTAAGTCAAGTACTCCCCTTTTGATTAAGCTAACAATAGCTGACTGAATAGATGGTCCTTATGGTATCATCCAAGCGGATACTCCTTAATTGGGTACAAGAATTTTTCACGTCTTTGTTATGGTTCTCAAGACGGTGTACTGACAAGCTTAAACCTACTCCATCTGCTTCTCGCTAGTGCTCGTTAACTTGCCATGGGATATTCTATTATTTTTGGATTATTGAAGTCGAACCTTTGACATCATCGTCTTTGGCTTTCTTTGCACAAAGTTATCAATATCCTTGCCAGATGCCCAGCTGTCCTCGGTATATCATACCAGCAGGTACCTCTGGTGATGATCGTGACTAAGTCAGTTTGGGCATTCAACCCCGACGTCTGTTCATTAACCACGGGAATGCATTGTCATATTTTATTGTCTATTCTACAAATTTTCCAACTCAAAACGATTAACTAGGTGCTGAAAGTCGTCGCTTTAAGTAATCCCAAAGCTATTCCGCTAAGAGGCCAAAATTAGGGTTGGGCGTTCATCATAGTGAGCTCAGTAGTGACGGAAGGGAAACATACTCTAAGGTCTGTTTTTTGTTTTATATCTCAAAATGTGGGTTTGTCTTCATTTCGTACTAGCAATCAATGAAAATTTTGACGTAGAATTCACGCATTAACTCAAACTTGCTTACGTTATCGTGTCAATATATTTTATATTTATATCTTTATGCATACAAATTTATTTGCATAAAAATGACAACTTCCAAGTGCTGACGAATTCAATCTTTTTATGTGGGGAAAAAAAGAAAACACCTACAGATTCGTTAAATAAAAATAACCGAACCGAATCGTTCGCCTACACTATTCCGAAGCCCCCGAAGCTTCGAAGTCAGCATTCAAGTGTATTTGATATAGGTAAGCCTGTGGCGCATGCGCGCGTGCTGCTCGCCATGTGGTGATCAATTAGTTGTGCATACATTCATATATAGTATGTATGTACATATAAACCGTATTGGATATACATATGTATGTATGTACATACATATAAACCCACGTGAATGTTTGCAAACTCAGCTATAAATGACACTTTTTATTTCTTAATTTTTATTTATTTAAAATTATTTTTTATTTCTCATTTATGCTTTGTGATATTCTATTTCAAATATTTGCATGATTACGCGCGCCCAGCAACAAAGAGAAATGAGCAGAAAGACGTTTTGTTGATGATGACAAACGCGCAAAACAGCAGCCCAACTTAGCTATTCAATCGAAATCACAACAACAACAAAATATACATACATAATGCGCATTTTAGCAACAAAAAAATCAATTTTTTTATTATTGAAGATGCTGTCCCTGATCGAACAGACCGTATTTTTACTGCCTGCCCCTTTGCTCCCCTCTCAGATTATTATTATTTACTTTGGTGATAGGAACAATCTCGCTGGTGGGGTTAGTTGTTGTGCGGCATGCGAACCGCAACCGCGTCATTCCGTTTGAGTTGACAAATTCGCATATATGTATGCACATAGTTATATATATATTTATATGTACACATAAGTATGTATGTGCCCAATAGGAAAATATCAAATGAAAAATTCCAGCTTACTGTGGCGTCGAGAAGTCTAATTCCAGCGTCAATTCAGCAGAGGTGCAACCGCGTCGGTCTTGAAGCAAGCGGCTCGTTATGTAAATGTATACAAAATTCAGATCCTAGCACGATTGTGCGCTGTGCTTGGGATCAGCTATGTGGAAGCCAGTCAACCAATGAAAAGTTCAACAACGTCACGGGTGAGAGGCTCGCGTTTTGATGACGACCACGACAAACGTATTAACTACTATGATTTGAAGGTTTGAACTGGTAAAATTTGATCCCTTAATCGGTAAGGTGTATTCGTAAGACTAAAGGCTGGCATCACCTCCGACCAAAAAATGGCATCAAAGTGAACGTTGCGAGGGCGGCGGTGAGTAGATCCATATATAGAAACGCAAAATTCGGCGTTGGATCCGTATTGGGAGAGAGACTCCGATACCGATCTCTGGAATTCACTGGTTCAGTGGTTGTGGCCAGACGCAATTGGCATCAAAGTTAAAGTTTTTAACATTACGCCCACGTCCCGAGGGAAGCGAAAGACGATGACAGCAAGATTGCCTGTTACGAGCGGCACAACTGCCGAAAAATTTATTCTGCACAAGGAAATATGCTTTATCAAATAAAACGAAGTAGAATTGTGGGTTTTCGTAAAGCCATTCTCTCAAAAAGCTGATCATGCCAACGGAACTTTTATGTTGTGCTATGTAGAGAGAAAAGTAGACCTAACAGCTCAATTTATATTCTCCTTTAAGTTAAAGAATTAAGACTGCAGAGAGCTACTTCGTGTGAACCCTCAATTAGTATCGAACTGTTCGGGGAGATCCATATCAATTCTGATCGAACTTCTAGCGTAATTTAGGACGGATAAAATTTACAGTAGTACCTTATTGAGACACAGAGTTATAAGCGTAGCCTTTTTGTGCTTTTGAAGATGGCTTTGAAATGGAGGAAGAAATGAGATGAGTGATTTTTATATTCCTATGTACTTATGTACGCATCTCCTACAACAATTTGCTAGGCCGAGTCGATGTTGGACATTGGCAGCGTACCCACATATAAAATAATGCAGACAAGTCTTCAATTTGCCATAATATTATCGTTTTAGTTACTAACCTTTAGAGCCGTCAACTACCTAAGTAGCTGGATTGGTTTACTTATACTGGAATCTAATCTGGTAGTAAACTTTTCTCAGCTTATTTATGAGGGCTCGAGAATGGAGATCAAGTTTTATGAAACTTGTACCGAAAACACTTTATTTGCTGCTCTGGTGTTATAGCTAGACATTTGCTCCTCGTGATGAGCTATAGTACATGGAGACATCTATCTTCTACCGGAAATCCATCGCCAAACTTACGATTTTTTTGGGTTCCAAAAGGGTCATATCAGACACATTTCGAAGATGACGCTGGATTATAAATTATTTGAAAAAAGTCTTTCGCCTTATTTTTTTTTTGTGGCCTAACGTTACTTTATCTTTTGCCTCACTTCATCAAAAGCACATTGCTCGCCAGATGGCGCTGTTATCCTTTATCTACAAAAACTTACTTTCAAGCGTCGAATTGCTGAACTAAACTTTACTTTTATCATTTTAAATACAAAAATAAATTTGTCAATCAAAACCATTTTCTTCAAAAATTTGAAAATCGTATGTACATACTCCTATGTATTTGATCTTACCAGATACATCCCCATTGAATCGATTTTCCTACATGGACAAAAAAATAAGCATTAGACTTGAAAATCACATGTCCAATTGTTTGCTTCTAGTTACGAAATAGAAGACTTAACCCACGTACATACATATGTACATTTGTATATGGCTAATGATGTGTGAAAAGAGCCTAACTAACATATATAAAAATATTATTTCTAAGTTAATAATATCTCAGCAAGTTCGTTTTTATATGTTGTAAATGAAACGCGTTTTTCCGAAATTTTTTTGAAAGGGCAGAAAATTATTGCGATAAACAAAATTTTCAGACAATAATGTACTATACTTAAGCTTCAGAAAAAAATTTTTAATATCAAAAAATATTTTAATTTTCCAATTTTGTGTTGAGTTTTCTGAAGTGCCTGCAGTTTGAACTCCAGAAACGATGACGGCGATGGAGGTCGTGCGATGCATCTAAAACAGTCGAACCAATTTTTTTTTTTTTTGTATTTTTACATATATGAAATAAAACAAAACGAAGAAGTTGGTAAATTCAAATTATTTTTTTAAGTGGAAATAAAAGCAAAAAAAATTCACTTCAATTTGCATAAAAAATCTTCTAAATAATGATTTTGCCTATCACCGGCAACATTTTCTAGGACTCGTAAAAATGAAAAGTCGAGGCAACGCGGTTCAAACTTCTTCCCAAACATTCGAATCTGCCCAATACGACTACTCTAGCTTCTAGCATTTTTTGAGGCCTCTAAAGCAGACTACTGCCTTAACAATATGTATATTAATAAATTGATAAATTCTAATTATTGAATAATTTTAGAAAATCACGAA